AATAGAGTGAAGAGAGGAAGAGTGGGGAGTGACAAGAAGCATAAATCAAAGCCTGATTATATCTCAATTCTTAAAAATCTACTCAAAGATGTATCATAATCATCATCACCATCATCATAATCTCTAGTCTATAATTACTCACAGTGAGCATTACTACATTGTGTTTTTTATGTATCTCTCTTCAAAATCCAATTTTCTTAGAAATAAACTAGGATAGTTTATTGTTTTCCTCTTAAATGGTCTACAGTAGTTTCCTAAACATATTAGATGTATGGAGGATTTCATTAGGAGTTGACATCAGTTAGAGAACCACTGGAAAACCAGCCACACGGGGGTACTGGACATCTGTTTCGTCAGCCTAGTTTGAAAGTCTTAAGTAGCACGCATCCACCACCACATGGGATCGAACCCAGGACCTTCTGGTTACAAGGCTAATGAGCTTGTAGACCATTCAGCAGCCACTGAGACCCAATCGAATGCATCTTGAATTCTAACTTCTGCTAATTCACGACATAGTGTGACCATGCAAGCAAACAAAATCCCTACAGAACCAATACTTGAAAATTAATCCGATACTCACAAGCGACTGACCCTATTCAGGCAGTTAACCTGGAGTTCTAGTGGGAAGCCATGACCAGTAGAGAAAAGCACATTCAAGATGAGGCAGTAATTCATGGAAGAGGACATTGCAAAATGGTTTCGCTATGTTGTGAATTGGCAGATGTTAGAATTCACGAACCATTGGATCGGATCCCAGTTACTTAGTGGTCTACGAGCTTGCTAGCTTTGTAATCAGAAGGTCCTGGGTTCGAACCTTGGTGGTGGGTGTGTGCTGCTGAAAAGTTCCAAACTAAGCTGAAGAAACAGCTGTACAGTACTCCCAGTTGGTTTTACAATTGTTCTCTAACTTATGTCAGCTCATCATGAAACCCTTCCACCAATCAAACAAAGCCCCTACAAAACCAATACTTGAAAATTAGAGGTACGCGAAACTTTGTATTACTCAGGATTCATATATATTATCCAGTTTACGCTCTTTCCAGAAGCACATTACTACTTTGCTCTGTTTTTTGTAGTTTATTTTCTAGCTGACTGTACAATTGTCCATAAGCAACTATTTCCTCCTAAACACAATCTTCTTCATGTTTTCTTTTCAGAATCCCAATTACTTCATTATTTCTCATTCTAGTCCGTCTTAAAGGCCCAACAGGCACCGTGATATATCATTCGATGTGTTCCCCAGATTAATATATAAACCACCTCTTCTTTTCAAGTGTTGGTTTTTAGGGATTTGATTGATTGGTTACAGGATTTCATCATGAGCTGACATCGGTTAGAGATCCATTGAGAAACCTGGGAGTAGTGAACATTCTAGTATAAGACTCTTCATCAGTACGCACCCGCCACAGGTGATCGAACCCACGACCTTCTGGTTACAAGACGAGCTCGTCATCCCTTCTTTTCTTCTGCATATTTTTTACTGGGTGGTAGAGTTTTGTGTTTCATTGGAGTTCCGCGTTGCTTGTCTTTTCTAACTGGCAACCTGATCTTCAATACGAAACGAGGCAAATGTTGATGATGAAATTCTAAGGTTGCATGTTGGAAATATCTGCTCCTGATGCATCAGGTCTGTGAACCATCTAGAACATTTGTGATTTCATTACTGAGGTTGAAAACTTGGATCTTATTCCTTGTAATTATTTTCTAGATAGATCTGCGTATTGACTTTAGAGTGATCAAGCACCACCTTGAAATTTTCTCAGCCTGAATGGTTTCGACATCCGCTACCTGTAGTGGAAAGGATACTGTTCACTAATTCAGTTCAAAATAAGTTAAAAATTCACTGGTGACTTGTCATATGAGATTTTATTCCAGAGACTTTCTAAGAGTAGAAGAACTTTTTACACCGCTAACCTAACCGAATTTTGTTTTCTCTGAATTAACACTTTGACCTATACTGATTCACTGCTGACCTTCTATCTTCTGTTAACTTTTTTATAAGTATGCATGGCAAGTTTTTGTGTGTGTGTATGTCTCTGGAATTAAAATATTCGAAATGTATTGCTCAGATCCACGAAACTTGATCAATAAACCACGTCTTCCAAGTATTGCTTGGTAGACATGATTGATTGATTGATTGACTGGTTACAGGATTTCATCGTGAGCTTACGTCAGTTAGAGAAATATTGGAAAAACAGTTGTTTCATCAGCCTACTTTGTGACTCTTTTTATCAGCACACACCTGCCGGGGTTCAAACCCAGGACCTTGCAGAGTTACATGCAAGGTCTGAGACCATTTTTGAATTTGTGGGTTGACCGTTAGAAATGGGCCCCAATCTGTTGGTAAAACAATGCAAAGTGTAGACTAGCAACATCTGATCCATATTACAAACTGCTTTCGTCTAGACAATCGGTTACATTAGGTGAATTCCTACTGTACAAACTGATTCCAATGAAAATGAAGGTAATAGCAAAAACGTATCCAATGACTGGATGACCTAAAGCAGTCATCTCTTCTTTTTCCTGCTTCTCATCGAAGAGTAGGTCTTTTACGCTGAAAAAAAGATTTTCATCTTTCACAGGAGGAAAGACTATGGTAATGGTGTATACTACTAATGACTGCCTTCAGTAGTACTTGCTCATGAGACTGAAATGATGTAAACACCACAGTGTCGTTTCGCTATTATGAAAATAAGATTACTCCCGGTTTACTCTGATTTACTTGTAACGATAGAAGACAAGGGCCAGGAAACAGATCGTTTATTTACGTAATCAACACATATTTATAGTATGGAGGATATAATCATGAGCTGACATCAGATAGAGAACCACTGGAAAACCTGGGAGTACTGGACAGCTGTTTCATCCTAGTTTCATCCCAGCGGCTCAATGGTCTACGAGCTCGCCTTGTAACCAGAAGGTTCTGGGTTCGAACCCCGGTGGGTGCGTACTGATGAGGAGTCCCAAACTAGGACGAAACAGCTGTCCACCGTTTCGTATAACCAAACAACCAAACATAAAAAAATTTAGATTTTCATGTACATTATTGCTAGAAAACAAACACAGTCTTCTGATTGGTGGTTTCTCACTGAACGACAGTTAATCTTTCATCTCTTTGTGTCTGTTTCTTGAATGTCAGATCATCTCTCTGCTAATTGTATCTGCGTACGCAAAGTCTGCTGCATCTGGTTGTTGAATCAGTCTCTGTTCTTATTTTTCTCACGACCAATATAGTGGACGTAAACACTGACGTAAATTACTGTCTACCAATAATGGCTAGCAGCCAGCTCTCACCAGAACATATCTACTTAATCAAATAATCTGAGTTCTGGTTTTGATGCCACCCCCCCTTCACATTCAGTTAAAAGGTCTCAAAATAGCATGAAATATGTGAATCACAGATCACTCATTGAGCCGAAAACAATCAAATAGAATCAGTAGATATCGTTCATTTCGGTCTTAAAAAGATCAGTCAAAGGGATTGAGCAGCATATGGTCATTTTATTCCATCCTGGCCTTTGCATATTGATTAAGCTGACTCAATTATTGCGCATAAGCTTCCAATTTTTCCTTCTCATATGAGATGGTCTCCTTCATCTCACCCCTACTGGAAATACGCTCATCTCTTTTTTTTTTCATTCTGGCCTCCATCCGACGGCCTGTCAGCTGAATTCAATCAACGATCGCCCCGAGGTATGTCAAGTCCACTTTCACTTAATTCTGCGTAATTCTGCTTGGCTCAGGCATGAGGCAAGCAACCCCACCCTGTAAACAAAGTTGCTACAGAGAATTCAGCACGATGAATCTCTCTGCGCCAAAAGAAAAAGTCTGTGTGGGGGCATAAGCCCCATGTCCTTCTAGGAATTAAAGGACATAGTATAAACATAATTCTGCTTGATAGTAGGTTGATAGTTGTGTATCGATAGGATATGCATAGTATATGCTTCCTGACCAATCACATTCAAATCACAGCGTGTGATCTGCACGCCGATGCCATAAATGAGGATAATGAAAGCAAATAACATAATATAATATGATAGTATGTAGTACTAAGTGATTAATTTCAGTAGTTGAAGACCGCTCTTTTTCAAGGAGAATTTGGCTTTTTGAAGTGAGTCTGTGGTGGGAGCTGGCTGCTAGCCAATATTGGTAGACAGTAATTTACGTCAGTGTTTACGTCCACTATATTGGTCGTGAGAAAAATAAGAACAAAGACTGATTCAACAACCAGACTCAGCAGACTTTGCGTACGCAGATACAATTAGCAGAGAGATGATCTGACATTCAAGAAACAGACACAAAGAGATGAGAGATTAACTGACGTTCAGTGAGAAACCACCAATCAGAAGACTGTGTTTGTTTTCTTGCAATAATGTATATGAAAATCTATAAATATGTGTTGATTACGTAAATAAACGATCTGTTTCCTGGCCCTTGTCTTCTGTTGGTATACTGTCAGCTCCAGTAGAACGTTATGATGAAAGATATTCAGTTAATAAGAAGTTAGAAGTTTCAGTAAATGATATTTGACACTCATTGCATGAGAGATGACTGTCTTTGAGTCGGCAGCACAGCGGTTAGGACTCTCGTCGACCATGCATATGTTCCGAAGTTCGATCCTCTGTCGACTCACACTGATATCAATGGTCGGCCTGCAAAATTTGGGCTACCGATATCATATGCTGAAAAATCCATACCTGTACCAAAAATACGGTGTGGAGTCAAGATATAATCAAATTTAAAAAATATTAATTAGTCTATTATATGACACTTTGGAATACCAGGTTCAATGAGAACACGACCATTCACTGAGATGTGAATGTATCTCCCTGTCAAATCTCAACAAACAACGAAACTAAAGTCCAGAACTCAAGAGATAGCCAACATTTAACCACATAAACGGTACGTTTCTTAATGTGGTTCTATGACAAATTGGTTCACATAGATTCGCTAACTTAACAAAATGATTATTGACTTTTTGTTTTCTATCCTTTAAACAGATTCATCGAGACCGGCTCGATCGACGTTAATGCGACAAATCTCTGATCCACTTAGTCATCCAGTGATACGTGGTCGAAGTTCACAAAGTCAATGGATTAATGTACAAGATGCATCACCACATGGAACAACAAATCAGATACCGCTATATCAACAAGCGTTACTTAGTCCACGTGTACAAGTACCACAGAAAGGTTCAATGCAATCAGAATATCCAAATACACTAACCGACCAACAACAACAACAACAACAGCAACAACAACAATCTCAATTGACACCGAATCAGTCGACTGGACAAGTTGGTGTGAATCGAACCAATTTAGCCCAGTTACAAAGTTTATATCAACAACTTTTACAACAACATCAACAATTATTACAGCAGCAACAACAGAGACAGCTCCAGCCAAATTTAGATTATCCAGCGGGTAATTCAAAATAACTAATCTTTGATACATTTGGTTCCTAGGAGTTATTAAGAAGACAATTGCAGCGAAGAAAATTTTCTTTTCGATGAAGTCATCATCTTGGCTGTACATTCGTGTATTTATATCAAATGGATAGGAAAGTTCCAGAATAATATCCGGTCAAGGGTCAAATTAGTAAAAATTAAAATTAGGAATTAGAATGCCATAATAAACAGGGGGATGGATAAAACAAACAAAGTAGCATCATGATAGCCAAGAAGACTGACATTGTGCAATTAGGGGTTAGAAATGTAGAAATAACAAAATAGACAAGATGTTTGGATAAGAACTAATGTGATGAATAATTGTTTACGCAATCAGGGATTAAATGTGTGGAAATAGTAAGGTGACAAAATAAACACGAAGTTCGGGTATGAAAATATGGTAGTGTAAACAGGGCATTCTAATTCCTAATTTTAATTTTTACTAATTTGACCCTTGACCGGATATTGTTCTGGAACTTTCCTATCCATTTGATATAAATACACGAATGTACAACCAAGATGATGACTTCGTCGAAAATAAAATTTTCTTCGCTGCAATTGTCTTCTTAATAACATTTGGTTCCCTTGATAAATTTCGATAGAGAAAAAAGAGACCAGATTTGCAGTATAAAATGATATCGTCATTCTATTTCACAGGTTCTCATCAGGTGCAAACTACAAACTACCTGAAATGGTTACAATGGTTATAAATAATACTAACATTTCATACTTAATTTTCAAGTATTGGTTTTTGTAGGGATTTTGTTTGATTGCATGGAGGATTTAATCATGAGCTGACATCAGTTAGAGAACCACTGGAAAACCTGGGAGTACTGGACAGCCGTTTCGTCCTAGGCAGTAACTCATCGAAGAAGACATTGCGAAGTGGTCGCGCTATGTCGTGAACTGGCAGAAGTTAGAATTCAAGGACCATTGGATCGGGTCCCAGTGTCTCAATGGTCTACGAGCTCGCCTTGTAACCAGAAGGTCCTGGGTTCGAATCCCGGTGGGTGCGTACTGCTGAGGAGTCCCAAACTAGGACGAAACGGCTGTCCAGTACTCCCAGGTTTTCCAGTGGTTCTCTAACTGATGTGAGGTCATGATTAAATCCTCCATGCAATCATACTTAATTCTTTGAAAGGTAATAAAGAAAACATTATAAGGTGAACGCATCCGGGATATAAGGTGATATTAAAATTATTTTTAGTCTAAGTTACCATCAATTTTTATACATTCAAACTTTGAAAAAAGGTGGGGGCAGGGATGAGATAAGACAGAAAACAGAAAAATCTAATAGACATTGTCAACATGGCAACTCAAGAAGGTCAAAGTTCATCAGTTTGAATACTTGCTTAGTGAGCTGAGTTCATTAGTGTGAATGACTAATCAGTGTAATGAAAGTGATATGGTTACCAAAGGAGTGAGAGATTGACTACACTCTCTTTCTGTGTGCATTCGTTCGGTCTGAGACATTTGATTGCAATTGCTTCAGCAATTACATTCGTTTTCAATCTTGTTTTATCGTCTATCCAGAAAAACTTTATATATGTACATACATATATAAAGTGGAAGGGAGTATAAGTCTGTACAAATAGATGCATTTTTCGGCTCAATAATTCTAAGTCTGGTAGTGTATTAAACGTTTTCTTAGATTATGTGGGTTACACCCAGATTTCTCTTCTTTTTCTCCTTCTCTGTCCTTCTCATTTTTTAAAAGCCTTCTGGGGAAAAACTGAAGTCGATTATTTTATTTTTTTGTTTAACATATCGCTCATTATCACACTTTCACCCATATATATATATATATATATATATATATATATATAAATTGCGAACTAGCCGGAATCAGACACGACCGTTCAGGTAAGCAGTCAGTAGAAGAATGAACCCAAGTAAGGCATGGCATAAAAACAGAAAGCGGTTAAGAGATAGAACGAGCATAGGCACAAAGATAGAATTTAATTGGCTACTTAACCAGGTAGGAAAATACAGATGAAAATCAATAAATAAGATAAACTCGACAGAATAGTACAAAGTAAGACATGGGTCAGCAAAAATAACAGTTCACAAAATACTCTAATTAGGTCATGAGTTCAAATGTCTGACTAAACAGATCGAGGTAAAAACACATATACACAGTTCATTAAACAAGCAGGGATAGACACGTTAGGCATGGATAATTGGGTTGCAACAACGCTAGACTGATCCGGGACAGGTTGACTTGATTCAAGGATGGAAGTAGAATTGATCTTACAGGCAGCGCTGAGATTTTCTCAAGTCCCTGTTCAACTTTCATGTTCGCTTCGAGAAATTTGTGGAATTTCCATTTTCATCAGGGTCCTGAAAAATGGAAAATATACAATTTAACAGCCTTTGAGGATGAATTCCTATGTAGACTGAAAACTCTCTCCAACAAATCGTTATCTCTTTTTTCCTCATAACTCTGTCGGTATTTTCGGTGCATTACCTTCAAAATCTAATAAAAATTCAGGGTGAGTTGAGTCATCCGTCACCTAACCTGATAATCTAACTACAAACCATCAACACTGTGGATTAGATATATAACACTGCTCGGGTCTGGAGATCAGTCCACCTATCTTATACATTCCCAGGGGTGATGAATCATCTCTTCGAATAGCTGAGTGCCTCTAACCGCAGCACGCTGAGTGCCATGGTATCAAGTTTCAGAAGGTGACATCAGTTCTTTGAAGAGTGTAGATATGCTCCGCAAATGCATGGTAATGTGCACAAAAGCCATATGCTGGGCTTCCTAATGACTGCTTGCAATCATCCAGTACACATAACATGCGTAGAGATGTTGCCTACTGGTTTAAGTACTTGTCTTCTAGGCCACAAGTTGTGGGCCCAAGTACCACCTGACATAATCATCATATATTTCGTTTTTTATTATCACAATTATTAATCATGTGACTGGATAATTACAGGACTTCCAGAATGCCTAACAGTACTCCACAAATCGATATCATCTGCACCAAAGAAACGACTAGACACGTCGCACTAGTTAATAATGTCCAATCAAAATTGTTTCATTTTATTACTTTTTGTTTCGAGTGGGACACAGAGCTTGAAGCTTCAGCATTGAAGGTTCACTACCAGCTGTTTTACTTTTCACATGATTGGATTGCTAGCCGCATGCGCAACCTTCCTTCTTTATCGGGTTGAGTGCTGGCTAAGCGAAGTTAAGGAGTGCGTCAGCCGGCGATCTAACCCTAGAATACATACATGGTTGGCGAGTACCACCGGTGCACAAATAAGGTTACGTAATCTTATGCTGGTTGGTTGATGGTGACTATCAGTTGAACCCGGGATGTATATTCCATCCCATTTGATACTCGTAGGTATCTGGATTTACCAACATTCTCCACTGAATAAAGGCCTTCTCACTGAGACTCGAATCCAGTATCGATTGTTCCAAATGCCAAAGCAGACTCCATTAGGTCACTTGAGGCATGAGAGCCACTCCTTGTGAAACAGACATTGGCTATTACTTGTTATTATTAGATTAATTTTGTTGGGTCAACATTGTTAAGGCTTCCGTTTTACGAGCTGACTTGTCAACAGAAAGTGACAAACATTTCAATCTAACATGATCAACCTACAGGAAATGAAAAAGATGAACACCTAAAATCGGTACATAAAAATATATTCTAAGCAGATTCTAAGTGTCTTCCATAGGCACATAAGTTATTAGTATATTTTGTCATTAGTTGGATTAATGAAAAGCACAGTTATGTATTGCATCAACTTATGATACTATAATAAGTAATGATATTCTTAATTAAAGTAATTCCAAAGAATTTCTTATAATTTATCATCTTTAAGGTCAACTGACGGACAGTAATCTTTATGCAACAGTTCAACGTCCACCGACTACTATACCCAGTTCATTGGTCGCAGGTTTACAACGTGTCATTTTACAACAACAACAGCAACAACAACAACAACAGCAACTCCACATTCCTCAAACGCAACCATCAATGTTACCCAGCGTTGTCTATCCACAGGTAGGCTGATACTAATGTTAAATTTTCGTTTAATTTATTTTCCAATTTAAATATGTTTCAAGCTTGACGATAGATTAGTGTCAGTTAGAAAGTCAACAGGAAGTACTGAATAGTCGTTTCGTCCTCGTTGGGGACTCTTCGGCAGTATACATCCATGACCCGACTAGACATCGAACCTAGGAGTGACCATTCAGCCACAGAGACCTGATCCAGTAGCCCATCAACTCTAACTTCTGCGTGATACAATGACACCGCCAGTTAGTGTTATTGGTGTATATCTGCCATGACGCCTGACTCAGTGAACCTCACTAAACGCATCTCACTAGTACTTCAGATAGCTTCGTTCTGTAGTCAGTCATTGAAAATCGGCGTATCTTGAATCGAAAGAAGTTGGAATTTATAGGCCATTAGGTTTCATTTCACTGGCTAAGTGGTCAACCAGCTCGACTGGGTATCTGAAGATCCTGGGTTCGATGTTCTGTAGGACCACTTATGTGTACCGATGAAGAGTCTCGAACTGGGAAGAAACTCCCTGGTTTCCAATGTCTCCCTAACTGATGTCAACAGGTTTGTGGTTAAATTTGAAACCACTCATATTCGGGATTCTCTCTAAGGCCTGAATTGACATTAGACACCATTCAGCGGTCTCCTCACCGTGTATGTCTATCTCATTTTCCTTTCGTTCAGCTTGTCAAACCTTTTCGCTAATCCTTTCTAGCTTTCTGATCTTCAGTATGGAACCAGCTGTGGTAGTGTTGCTGAACGTGTTTAGCCTGTTGATAATACTTTTCACTAACGCATGCAATGAAACTCTCTGAATCGCAGAGAAGTACCGAGTTATTATTAGTTCTGAAGATCAGGATCTTGTCGCTTATCCTGAGTACAACAGGTTTCTGCACTCACTTTGCACTCCTAACTGCTTTTATGACAATTTTATCTTTGCCTCTGACATTAATTGAAGCTATACTGTCTAGAAAAGCGGAAGAGATGACCTTGTGTAGATTTTTCCCATTGGCTGTGATTGACTGCTTGGTGTTATCGGTAAGTTATCATCGTTACTTTTATGCGTTGAAATTAATGAAATGTAAATGTTTTTTTATTTAAATTCTGAAAGGATATAAGTACACTCATCCAAAACTAGTATCTAGTGTGATGTGTCTAGCTAGTCCTTTGTTTGGTGCAGACTGAATTCTATCAGTCAGTCAGGTTTATAATGTGGCCACCATGCCACTAGGTAGCTCGCCGTCACGGTGAACTTTGACTTGTTGATTGATGTAAGATGGTTGAAGGCAATCAAAGTATCTATTACAGTCCTGCAGGAGATCAATCGTCAACCCGAAAAGCTGGCCGGTGACGTGTGTTTGCATCTCGGAAGGGGGACATGAGTTCCTTCAAGGTGATTGCAGATGACTGGTGAGTGTGAACTAGTGCAAAACCTAGGTCAGGTAGTGTTTCCAGCTGATTGTCTCCAACCATCTAATACTGACGGTTCATAATGCACCACCGTTATGGTGACCTACCTAGAATGATGGCCACATCGCATTTCTGACTGATAGAATTCAGTCTGCACCAAAGTAAGAACTAGACACATCATACTAGTTACTAGTGTCCAATCAAAGTATTCACTACAATCCCACGGAGGGGATGAATCGCCAGCCCGAATAGCTGACTCATTGGTAGCGTCTCTGACTGCAGGCAACACTTGCTGGTGACTCGGGTTCGAATCTCAAAAGGAGGACATGAGTTCCTTGCTGACGAGTGACAACTATTACGAAACCTAGATCTAAGGCTTTCTGTCGATTGCCTCCAACTATCTAATTTTGATATAAGTACACTGTAGGATTCCTGAACACCTTTAGGACTCTCATAATATCGCCTGAAGTGAAAAAAACGGCTTAAAGTCCACTAAAGCTGATGAAGACACTGAATGCTAGATGACTTAAATGCCCTCTGTAATCAAGAATAACCTGAGAACTTAAAGTCTAAGAATTAATACACTAAGTAGACAAGTGTATTTATTATCTTATTTCAATAGTTGATTTGTAAGGATAACTTTTGTTTTTACGAGTTGTTCGCGGGTTGTTTTCAGTTCGAGAATCGTTGAAAACCAGCAATGGAGTACTGGGCTATGGTTTCATTCTAGTTTTGAATTAATCTGATGCTCGCTAGTGACTTGCTACAGGATGGAGTTTCCTGGTGTTAGTTCTAGTGAGAAGTCGTGACCAGTCAGGTCAATCCAGTCAAGTGTGAGGATGGAGTACTCGCCGATGACATTGGGTGATGGTGGTGCTAAAATCACGAATTGGAAGAAGTTAGAATTCATAGGCTGGCCATTGAATCGAGTGGAATCTCAGTGGCTGAATGGCGTACTAGCTCGATAGCCTTGTAACTGGAAGCTCCTTAGTTCTAACCCTGGCAGTGGGATTGTACTGCCGATGATTTCCAAACTAGGCTGATGAAACAGCTGGCTGTCCAGTACTCCGGTGCTGGTTTTCTGTGGTTCTCTAACTGATATAGATCCGTGGTTAAACTCGTAAAAACAAATAGTATCTATTATTTGTTCTACCATAATTGTACTTCAAAGTGTATAAATTACAAATTGTTGATTATTAATTTGTGAATTTGATTTAATTTAAACATTTATAAATTTAATCTTTTTGTGGCAACAAATCCGCCTTTCCTCCACGTCCCCACCTATACATCCCTCACACAGCTCACAGCCATCCAACCTCAACCGTTAACAACACTAAGTCTTTCTGGTCTATCATCCACATCAGCATTCAGTAATCTTGCAAGAGCTTTACTCCCCACATCAGTTGCCTATAATGCTGCTGCTGTTGGTGGTGGTGGTGATTCATTGACTGGATTACCTGGTGCCGCTCCGCTATTAACAGCTCCCAGTCTTATGCCAAGTTCTAGTCTACTACCTGGTCTTCGAACATCCCTATTTGCTCAACCACAACAGCAACAACAAGCAACAGTACAATTGCTACAGAATCTCCCCATCCAGCCAACGGATCATTCTTATCTAGCTCAACAGACAAGATTAGGCGGCCCAACAAATGCTGGTAAGTTAACTGACGCCGGTTTTGTCTTTAAGCCTTTTGTGTTCCGGGTGGAATATAGTCCTTTAAGCTTTAGCTTTAAAGTGCCAATCGAGGTGGTCACACAATTATGCATTCCATAGAAATCACGCTTTATAATAATAATAATAATTTGCTTTATTCCAAAACAGTACTTGTGATACAGAATGGAATTCTCAGCATTTAACTACATACAGTATTGCATCCAGTTTGTACATTAACAATAAATAAAATGCCACATAGATTAAGCGTTATCTCAGTTCATTATAACAACAACATATTAGCATATCGGTAGCAAAGCCAAAAGTGAACAGAGTGTTTGAAGGTGTTAGAAAAGTAGATACTAGCATATATCACTGGCGTAAGCGGTAACAAAAAGGTCGAGATATACACAGTATGAAAGAACGAAGAAGAATGTTATAAATAGAGTTTGTAAAGAAGAGAGAAACGAAACAGCACATAACAAAAAGAAGAGGAAAGGAAAGAAATAAAAACGTTGTACCTATAAATGATATGAGTTGGAAAGACAAGATCCAGTTGTTCAACTGACTATTTAATAAGTTATAGGTATCACCCCTAATGCTTACTTTATCGCACAGAATACGAGCCAAGTAGGGTAAAGTTGAGTGCGAGCATATAGTTTTCTATGTAGGCTTCTGATCCTGTCTGATGAGATAGATACAAGGGGAGAGTTGTGAATGAAGAGGGTGGTGGTGGTGTGAGTTAGAAAGATAGAATGGATTTAGCCCATTCTTCACATTAGCCGAAGTGCCTGTCGACCAGAGTATTAACAAGTTGGTTAAGTGGCACATTGCTTACCCTGCTGACAACCCTACGTAATAAGGTACACTCTTTCTTCAGTAACCCTGGTAAACCTGAGGGGAACAATAGAGAATAATAGGCAGGATTCAAGAGTTAACGAATCGTAAGAGTAAGAGTTGGGTTGGGTTGTTCCAGAATTTCTTAACTTCTTCATGTAGAAGGTGAGACGGAATATTTTCTTAGAAATCATCAAGATATGAGATGAGACGACCAGGAAAGATGAGCAGATAGAATGACGCCAAGATATAATTAATAATTTTCGCTTGGTTTCTATTTCAGTGCCATCCATCTATGTTGCACACCTCGTGAGAGTGCTAACCACCAGTTTGTATAGAGGTCAGATTTATGCCCTGAAGGTGAAATGAGTGTTTGGCATTCAGGGGATTTAAGGTTAGACTGTTTTCTTTGGACCACTGTCTGATTTCTGATAAAAATCCATTTAGTTTATGGAGACTCCTAATACCACTTACCGTTGTGAACTAGCAGTGTGGTGAAACGACTAATAATAGAAAGTATATTAGTGCTATTCTCTGAATTGGATGTGATGTTTGATAGGGGAGGATATCGACAGGAAGCCCTGGACCTATGTGCCGTGCTTTTCATCACCAGTCTGAAGGATACAACATCCCCTCTCTGAGGTTCGAACTTCTGCCACCAGGTGTGCTACAGTCAGACACGTCACCACTAAGCTACAAGAGTTGACAATTCACTCTTTGTAGAACTGTAATGGATAGGTTAATCGTCGCCTAGGGAAAAGCCAGTGTCATTTCACCAATTTTTGGTATTGATGATAACCTGACGGTTAGAATTTGTCATATTTACATTCATGTTAAATTTTTCTAAAAATCGACACATGTAATTTCTTAATCGTCACTTTTTTGTTAAGGATTAGTCGGTGATTTAACCCAACCAGAAATGTTGAATGATCCAGCCTGGCATGCTGAACAACGACGTAGAATCGATTTGCAAAGAACACGATTCTTGTTGAATGAACAAGAAAGAAAATTATTTGAAGAATTAAAAAATATACGAAATCGTCGAGCTGGTCTTTCAAGATTAGAACAATTAGGACGTCTTGGAGCCAGTACATCTTCGAATGTTACACCGCTGGAAAGTTATCGTCGAGCAACTGGACGAATATCAACAAGTGAAGATGCTCGATTTCGAAGTCGTAATCGACCGTTGTATGCAATAGGCAGATCAGGATCAGGTTAGTTACTGTATAATGTGAAGATCAATAGATCCAAGGTTTGATTCTACTTGATTTATATTTCTTTACGTTCCCCTGGAACAAAGGAGGGGCTTCAAGCTATAGACTTGAAGTTTCGGTAGCATTGGTGTTAATTTTCAAGGGATGAGGTCACTAGCTAGCCTCATGACCAACCTTCCCTCTTTACCCATGTTATTACTGGCTTATCGAGATAAGGAGGCAGTGCGTCAGCAGGGGATCGAATCCTGGACCACATGCATGGTCGGCGAACATTCTACCGCTATGCCTCAGTTGGTTTAATTGTAAAGCTTTAATTACCATTCTTAACAATAAATTAAGCGATGCATGTAATGCAGAGTGAGCTCTAAAAATTCCTTGGGGTCAGCTTGAGAGTCCGTATCAACAGAAGTGAATAGAATCATAATACAATCTCAGTCAATTACAGTCAAGTTAACCAGGAAAGATAGGTACTTTACCCACTCATTAACGTAAATTACTATCTACTGATTTTGGCTAGCAGCCGCGCTCACCACAATAGCAGTATAATCCAGGATGTATATTTCGGCCTATTTTGAAGTCATCATCCAGATGTATCCACAGTCCCCAGTCATTTCAAACTCCGCTGCATTATCAAACAGACTACATAGGCATGGAAAGGCACCTCCTGTTAAAGGGGTATTCGGTTTTCAATTTGTTTCCAGACTAAGCTAACATTTCCTGTGGATGATTATGATGGAACGAAACTTCCTGTCTCTGTTGACACGTCGGCTGAATACTACTAAACTCACTGGAAATACATACACTACAAGCAAATGCAGCATACAACTTCCAAATAGGATAAAATGTGCAACCCGCCCCCCAAACTAGTCTGCTAGTCAACATTTACCAACAACTTCACGGTATTTCTTAAGCAACATCAAGATGTGCGTTCCAGCAGTTGACTGACTGACTAGTCAACAGAGACACCATAGAAAAACCTACGTGGAATGGTCAACTAACAAGCTTCTATAGCTAGCTGGGTACCCATTCAACAAAAGCGGAATATAATTAAATCACTTGCCGTCCGCATCTGCCGCATCTGTATTCTGACGTTCTGGAAACAGAATTAGATATTCTAAGAGAAATCTTCATCCTAAATGGATACCCAATAAGATTCATTGACAAAAATATCAAACCGAGAATTCGGAGAAACAATACTTTAATTGCGCCTAAAAAAAACTCTACATGAACTTGGATTTGAAGGGAGATTTAGAAAGCAATATCCTCAAGAGAAGGATCACATCATCTCTGAGAAGAACATTCTTTGCAGCAACGCTAAGAACAGTGTTCTGTGGTCGGCCCCTGATCTGCAGAAGCCTCAAGGACATGATTCCGCATCTGACCACTTCTATGTGCATATATCAGTTCACCTGCTGCTGTGGAGCCAGTTGCATCGGTCGTTTGACGCGCACCCACTTTCCAAGAGGATTCAAGAACACTTCGAAGATGGTTGCGAACAGCCCATAGTGGTGTAATAAGGAGTGCGATAATTGAACACTTGGTTAACACTGATCATTCCATTTCAACAAACGCCCCCTTCAAAGTAACCTACCGAATCAAGAATAACCTATCAAAGGCGATACGGTTTCGTCTTCTTTGTATCACCGAAGCTCTGGCTATCACATAGAAAAAACTGGAGCTGTGCATACAAAAGAGGATTAATCGACCACTTCTACTGTCATGGTATCAAATTTGTTGATTTCGATGACTTAATTTTCTTTCTTTGCCTGTTCTTTAATTGCTCATAGTTCTCTATTCATTCAGAACTCTTGCGTAATTTCGTATTCTCTACTTTGTTTCTATGTGCATCCTGAGTAAAACTCACTCATCAAACTATTCATATTATTATTACATAACTTCTTTTTACCAACTGTTTGTGACAACTCATCACCTTTGTTACTAACGTCATTTCATTAACACCCAATTTTCTTGTATTACGTAACTCTACCCAATTACCAAACTTCACTGTTTAGTTAAAATAACCATAACCAATTGTATTTTTGTTTGACAAACTTAATGTACACATGCATACACATGTGGCTGTACGGCTAAGAAAATAAATTGACTGGCGAAAAGAGACTCTTCTCTGAACTACGTGTTTGTTTTCATTGATACCTCCTGGATGGGGGTTATCCATGAACACTGACATCACTTTGGTTCAAAATACAAATTCATCTAGAAACAAACGCATAGTATTTCATTTTATACCTGCTTTCAATCATTCTTATCTTAACTGTTTGTTTGTTGTTTGTTGTTTTTTTTGCTTTTTAGCTGATGCTGCAAGAGTACCACTTGGAAGCGGTGGTTACTATGGCTACGGTGATGCCTATGGATCTGATCTTGGTAAGTCTATCTTCAGCTGAAACTAATTAGTTAGTTAAAAAAACAAATGAAAGATTTAATTTTATACCCCTGAAGTATACAACAATATTCGATGTTCATTAATTAAATAATAATAGTTGACAAGAAACATTTTAGGCAAAAAGTCATGGTTTCAATAACTTGTTCTTGTTCTTCTTTAGGCTCTACAGTTGTACATCTATGATATGTTAGAATACTGACAGCCGGTAAAAATAAACCAAAAATTATAGCAGAAACGTTATTAGAGTCAACCAAGTTGTGAAGCTACATAGGTTGAAATGTCTGCGACATGTGTTGCGCTCATACCCAACAAACACCTATGATCAAAGACAGATGATAGCCTTTCAGTATCTTTCACTTTCAATGACCATGTCTCACTCACAGCCAGTCATAAAGAAGGACGGAGTAAACTGCATATCTGCAGTCTTCACGTCATTTGATCGATAGCCAGCCGGATATCACGTCTACTAAGAAGTTAGAGATGGCGTAAGTTAGCATATGCCAAACGAGACTTCTGCATGTGTGCTGAAATTTCGTCAGCGATCAATGCGCTGACACTGGCTGATGCAACTTCCTGAATAAGTGAAGTGGTTAACACGTTCCACCGAACACTTCACCCTCGTTTCACCATCATCTGACTCTGCACTTTGTCATCTTCACTTAGAAGGACTGCATCATGTGCATATACTTAGTTAACGAAACCATTATTCCCTGGTAGTAACAAGTCAATCCTTGAGTCAATTGAGTTAGTCAGGATTAAGTCCATTAGTACATCTACGATGAAAAAAAACAAAATGGAGATATTGGGTATCCCTGACGGACACCACTAGTTGCTGTCACCACTTCAGATGACAACTCTCCGTAGGCTGGCACCTGGCTGGTTGTATGAGTTTGAGCAGAGTGTCTTGATTAGTGTGATCACAATTCTCAGTCTCCCTTCCCTTCACAGCTAAAAATTGCTATGGTACCTTTCAACCGGTGAAAATCCAATGTCCCTTTTAGATCAAGAAATATGACGATTGTTGGACGCCGGTAAGTATGCCAATGTTTCAGAATCTGTTGAAGGGTGAAGATATATGATCAATACATCATCTTCCCGGTCTAAAGGCTCCCTGGTTCATTCGTGTTTGTTCCCCCCAAGCACTGCTTAGTCTACGCTGTAACTGTTACATGAAGACTTATTTATCTCCCTTCTTGTATATCGAGATAATCAATGACTTATACCAGCTCTCCGGGACTACCTCTGATTTTTAGACGCTGCCTAATGTCGTGGCTAACGCAGACATTAAACTATCTCCACCGTCCTTAAACATCTCTGGAGTCATTCCATCAGATCCCGCAGTTTTGTCTGGTTTCAGGCTAGTGACAGTTTTTGTTACCCCAGTTAGGGACGGAGGACCAGTGTTTATATCACATTCAGGGAGGTGTTGAGCGTGGCTGTAGGCCAATTACAACTTACCAGTCATTCATCCTGACAGATTATGGTACCATAGTGCCATTTTTCTCGGAGATTGTTTCACTTATTGATCCCTTTTACTCCATCTCTGCTCAGGAGGAGTAGTTGCATAACTTTTAGCAGATTGTTTGCAGTCAGTATACGACTATAAGCGACTTATCTATTTTGATAGGATATTCACTATCTACGAAATGGGGTAAGATTGCGACTTTTTATTGATTCGGATTTATTGTTACAGTGATCAGTATAAAGTGTTGAGTGAAGATAAATCGGAAATGCCTGTAGAATTAAAAATACACTATTCGATATCTGTCACCCCTCTATCTCAACTTCATCAACTTTGAAAAGGCCTTGGACAGACAGCCTCGATCGAAAGATGATTTCGCAACTAATTCGCTACTACGGGGTGACGCCGACAATTATGCATCTCATCAAACAGTTGTACGATAATGCTGCATGCCAGGTAATCCACAACAGGAAACTCACGGAATCCTTCAAAGTTAAGACATGAGTAAGGCAACGTTGCCTACTAACACCAATGATTTTCTGATTGCAGTAGACTGAATAATGTGACAGACAGCTGCAAGAAACGAGGAAGCAGGCATAAAGTGGACCCACACAATAAGTAACTTGGAGGATCTGATCTTCGCCGATGATGTATGTCTGATTTCTCACAAACTGGAAGATATGCAAGTGAACAGCAACAAGTTGGTAGAAGAAGCATCCAGACAAGTTAAGACTTCAGGCGGACATAGAGAAAACAGAGGTGACGAAGATTCCTGGCCAACATCAGCAGCAACAACAACAACAGACAACAATCAGCCAGCATAAATGGGAGGAACCTGAAAGAAACTATCTCCCCTACCGACCTGGGAAGCATCGTTTAAACTACAGGCGGAACTGACAAGGATATCAAAGCCAGAATCGGAAAAGCAAGACAAGCTTTCATTACTCTCAAGTCTGTGTGGAGGTCAACAGCACTCAGCATGAAAACGAATATAAGATCCGGATTTTCAACTCCAATGTGAAGTCAGTGCTAGTCACTATACGGATCAGAGACTTTGCGCGTCATAAAGAACACCTCGAACTTCGAACAACAGACCTTCATCAACAGCTGTCTTTACTTGATACTACTCAAGATCAGATGACAAGATAAGATCAGAAACAGGGATCTCTGGGAGCAAACCAACCCAGGGGAACCGATTATGCCACAAATACGAAGGAGGAAATGGAGATCGATAAGCTGTTCTCTTTTAGAAAAAAAACCATCAAGTTGCATCTCACTAGACAAGCCCTCGAAGGAGTGGAAACCGAAAAGGAAGCGGCGAGTTGGTCATCAGTTCGAGGGTGACTTGGAGGAGATCATGTGAAGAGGAGATGAAAGCATATGGCTAGACTTGGAGCCAGGTGAAAACGTTGGCAGAGAACCGAACGTTCATTGCAGACGTGCAGCTGAAGCCCTATGTTCCTCTAGGAATTAAAGGAAATAATAACAATATAATATATATAATAATTCCATATCTGAATGAATATTAATAACATCTACGGAACCAGCGTCTTTCACTTAACCGTCGACTCCTCAATAGCTGAATGCTAAGACAGACAAAAAGATTAAATGAGACAGATAGGAATAACTATCAGCCCTCCTCTTATGATATAAAAACAATTGCACATAAATGTGAAATACATGTGAAAATGTATGTGAAACATTTATTAAACGTGTATCAGTTATTAAAGGGTGATCGCGATAATAATAATAATAATAATGACATGCTGTACATATGACTTCCGTTTAAGGTGTTTTCTCTTTTAAGTGAGTTTAGGCCTAGCTAGACATATAAAACAGCATGCGAGATAAAGTTTAACTGTAAGCAGACACTATATAATAGTTCTATAATAAATAAAACAGGATTTCATCATAAGCTGATATTAGTTAGAGAACCATTGGAAAACCAGCTGGGAGTACTGGACAGCTGTTTCGTCAGCCTAGTTTGGAACTCTTCAGCAGTACGCACCCATCGGGACTGCTGAAGAGCCCCAAACTAGGACGAAACAGCTGCCCAGTACTCCCAGCTGGTTTTCCAATGGCTCTCTAACTAATGTCAGCTCATGATGAAATCCTGTAAACCAATCAAATCCCTGCAAACCAACACTTGAATAAATAAAACAAGTAACAGTCCCCATTTCTTAAGACAAAATGATTGAGTGAGGAAATAATCTTGAATACTTAAAGATGAATGAGACGCTTACTAATGACTGGGCATATATATTCAGGTAGCTAGTTAGTTACCTTGGATCTAGAGGGGTAGTCATGACCAGTAAGGTGAAACAAATAGGGCGTGAGTGCAACTACTCACTAGGAGGTGACAGTCCCTAGTGGTCGAGCTATGTCATGAATTGGTAGAAGTTAGGATTCATGCACTGATCATTGGGTTGGATCTCATAAGGCTGCCTAATGCTCTATGAGCTGGCTAGCCTTGTAACCAGAGGGCCTTCGGTTCGAAATCTGTAGGTGGATGCATGCTACTGAAGAGTGCGAAACCAGGCCGACGAAATAGCTGACTGTTCAGTACTCCCATCTGGTTTTCTAACCGATATCAACTCATAATGAAATCCTGTAACCAATCAAATCAAATGCCTGCATGCCAACACTTGAATATCATCTCCATTAGCTTAGGTATACTGTTTGAACGATAATTTGTTGAGTATCTTGTTACTTAAACATTTTGGGGCCAGTTGGCTGATCTGCTTTGTTAAAGTAGTGAAGGTGTAACAACAGAAGACAAGGATCAGGAAACAGATCCTTTATTAAGGAAATCAACACATATTTATGGATCTTTATGTACATTATTATAGATTATTATAAGCAAACAAACACAGTCTTCTGATGGGTGGTTTCTCGATGAACGTTCATCATCTTTCATCTCTTTGTGGTCGTTTCTTGAAGTCTAGATTATCTATCTGTTCTTATTTTCCTCAAGATCAGTATTGGGGACGTAAGCACTGACGTAAACTACTGTCTTTCAATTTGGCTAGCAGACAGCTCTCATCAAAAATGTAGTTGCGTTGATGAAAGTCTGTAACAGGTTGTTGAAAGCGCTTTCTGTAACGCATCCGGTAATTCTATGAGCCATATAGAAACATTTACTAACTCAGTTATTGTTCCTTGTTCCGGGGCACTGCACTTCATACCTCCAAATAGATTTCAGAATAACAAAATAAAACGAACACTAGTCATCAAACTATCAGCTTCAAAAATAGCGCCTGTAACCAAAAGCATTAATCAATTAATTTGCATCAATTTAATTCTACTTTCGAATGTATTTTTCATCGTTAAAAAAACTATCTTTGCTTTTGGCCTTTTTCAGATGAAGATTCAGCCTTGTTGGCTATTCTAGAGCAAAGATTGTCTAGAAAGCCAACAGAAAGTAGACGGATCTATTCAGATTCTGAAATGGGATTACAAGAAGCTGCTGGTGATATTCCCCTTCGGATAGTTGGACAACAACAACGTTCCGGTCATGTAGTTGATGGATCTAGTCAAGCTTTTGGCGGTTCATTGTTACCAGGTAAATTAGGAGTTGAATAGTTGTCATGCTAACGAACAAAGATATTAGTTTCTATTATTATTATTATTTTTATTATGTCCTTCAAATCATAGAGGGACATAGGGCTTCAGCTGCGCGTCTCCATTGCGCGTTCGGTTCTCTGTCAACGTTTTCACATGGCTTCGCATCTGCCCGCATGCTTTCATCTCCTCTTCACATCACCTCCTCCAAGTCACCCTCTCACTAACGACCAACTTGCCGCTTCCCTTTCGGGTTCCACTCGAGGGCTTGTCTAGTGATGTCACTTGATGGTTTCCTCAGAGTATGGCCAATCCGATCCACCTTCATTTCTTCCTGCACATTTGTTGCACAATCGGTTCCTGTTCAGTTGGTTCGTTCATTGCCATAGATCCCTGTTGCTGATCATTTCTGGCCGGCCATCTGATCATGAATGGTATTGAGTGCAGATAGCTGTCGATGAAGGTCTGTAGTTCGGAGTTTGAGGTGCTTTCATGACGCGCCAAGTCTCTGATCCGTCTTGTCAGTAGCACTGAATTCACATTGGAGTTGAAAATCCGGATCTTAATTTCATTTGAATGCTGAGTGCTGTGTGTTGTTGACCTCCACACAGACTTGAGTGTAATGAAAGCTTGTCTTGCTTTCCCGATCCTCGAACTCTGATATCCTCATTACTTCCATCCGCCTGTAGGCAAAAGGATGCTTCCCAGGTAGGTAGGTGGGTAAAGGAGGTTCTTTCTTTCCGGTTTCTCCCATTTATGCTGATTGTTGTCTGTTGGTGTTGGCCAGGAGTTTTCCTCGCCTCTGTTTTCTCACTGTTCACCTGAAGTCCCATCTTTAATGCTCCTTCCTCTGTCAACCTGTTGCTTTTCACTTGCATATCTTCCAGTTTGTGGGAAATCAGACATATATAATCGGCGAAGTCCAGATCCTCCAAGTTTTCTCTGTGGGTCTATTCAATGCTTGTTTCCTCGTTGCCCGCCATTTCCTGTTGCATTATCCAATCTACCGCCCTCAGTAAAGAAGATCATTGAAAATAGTAGGCGACCAGTTTGTCTTTCTCCCGTCTTCACTTCTTCGAAGAATTCTGTGAGTTTCCCGTTGTGGATTACTTGACGTGCAGCATTGTTGTACAACTGTTGGATGCGATGTATAATTGTCGCCAACACCACTTGGTTGTAGCGAATGAGTTGGGAAATCACCTCTCGATCGACACTGTCTGCTGAAGGTTTTTTCGAAGTGGATTAAGTTGAGATGGAAAGTAACTACCATTCCAAACTTTGCTCAATGATGATCCGTAGTGTGGCGATTTGATCAATACATGACTGGTTTCTCCTAAATCCACCTTGTTCCGGTCTAAGTTTTTCATCCAGGGCTTGTTTGATTTCATGTTTCTATAGGGTGCTTTTATTTGGATATAATGAGGAAGATTTTGACGTAGTTGTGTTCTTTGAGATGGATAGATTACTTGTAAAGCTTTTCGTTGCCTTGTCAGGCAATCAAACGCCTCACAGCATACTTCAGTTTGATGAAGTGAGCTTTCGAAATTTCTCCACGAGTTTACTAGCCATCCCTCTCAGTGACCTTGAACGTAATCGGTTGCTTTTATCTGTTTTTTACACACCCTCTTGTCTACTTGTATTACTATTGATGATCGTTTCCTTGACCTGAAGTTTGACATGCTTTTCCCCTTGATGTGATTGTTAATCACCAATTCACTGTAATACCAGGCTTCAGAAAATTCCGTGGAGTCCTAGTCTTTACCTGTGTCTAATAGTTGAATGTTGTCCCAGACCAATTGGTTTACCTGGTTGTCTGTATACAACGATATGAGGGAGTGGATGTCATTTCTTTTGACGGCTATTGTATATGCATGGATACAAAGACGAAGAAGGGGACGTCCACTTTGTCCAATGTGGTTGTTTTCTCAGTCGATGCAATTTATTTTGTGGATGATGTTGCTTTTATCTTCTTTTGCTGTTGAGTCTTGTTGTTGACACGGAACCAGCTGAGTGAAGTGATTTTGTTCGTTTGTGTGTGTGACATCGCTTCCTAAGTTGAAAGGACATATTGAAGGTCTGAATAACAATGAAGACCACTAAAACAAATAGCAGAGGTAATAGTACATCTGCTATGGTATCAAAATAAAATTTACCAAGGCAGGTATAGTGTGATGATGAATTGTTTTTGAACATATAAAGGTGGTTTAAGCTTTCTAATTGCTAGGCTTCCACAAACACGTTTTATGGGTAGGTTTAAAAGATCTGTTAACGTCAATTTTATGTCCTGTCCCTATTATATGTTTCACAATAGAGGAGATAGGTCTCTTGTTCTCACCATTAATAGGTTCTGAAGCAAGCCCTTACTTGCAGAGATCTATGAGTCCTCCCTATGTATGTGTGTCCACAAGTACATCCAAACTGGTAAATACAGTGAAATGTGACATCATTTTTCGCATGTTCGAAAGGCTTAGATGGTGGATATATTTACTTCACATTCTCAATTATTATGATATTAGCTGCATAAAAAGTCTTTTTAATCACAGCAGCGCTCAGTCTTTGTCTATTTATCAAGCTGCTCTCATGCCCCACATAGGGTAGCTTTATGTACATGTCTTTCTTAGGGGCGAGTTGTGGAATGGGTCTTGGTGTTCTGACTACTTTATATCTCCTGATGAACTTGTTTGGATGATTGTTATCAGCCAGAGTTTGTGTCAACTTTCTTTCTTCTTCATCAAGTGTCTCTTCAGTGCACATCCGTTGCATTCTACTGAAGAGGCACCATATTAAGGCTCATTACTACCGAACAGGGCAGAAACTGTGGTAATTAACATACTGTCCTCTCCAAGTAGGTGTTCTATAAATAGATCTTTTTATTGATCCATCAAGCCGTCGACTAGGCAGTATGTCCAGGAAACATAAACAATTATATCCCTCTTCTACAGATGTAAGTGATATGCTATTCTGAACTTCATTCATCATTCGATTTAAAATTGAGGTGGCAGAACAAGACTTATCACCCACTGGTGATTACAATATCATCTACATACTTTGTATAAAGTGGCACATTTTCGATTAAATCCTCCGATAAATTCTCAATGTACGACATATAAATATCTGCTAAAAGGGGTCCTAACGGACTTCCCATAGCAACACCATCAATTTGGCGAAAACAATCACCTTCAAATGTAAACCTAACATTGTTAGTACATAGAAGTAATAAATCCCTTAAATAAGATATAGGAAACGGGATGAAAAAATTGTTTGTGGAAATATAATCACACAAAACATCAACTTTTTTTTTATCAAAGGCACATTAGTGAATAACGAGTTTACATCAAAAGAGTACATATTCTTATTCATAATATTAAAATTACGTCTTCTTATTGCTTCATCTAAATTCATAAAGGGAACTAATTGTTTTAAATTCCTAAGTGTTTGAAGAGTCTTTTAATGATTTCTGAGACGTTCTTAATATATATATATATGTTAACCTGATTTTCTTTGTCTAATTGGTAAAGTTGTGTGAGTAACACGATATGATTATGACCAGTAGTAATAAATTGTGCTCGAAACGTGGTCATCAGTAAATATTACTGTATAACACCATTGTGAGGCTTTATCAAAACCAACTTTTACCCATAATGGAATTAATCACCCAGGGTTTTGAGATCGGAACAATACAAGATTATGAATATAGTTGCATCTAAGTAAAATATATGTGAACTGATTGAAAATGCCCATTGAAATTTTTCAAATGAATGGATACTGAACAAAGAGTACTCTTTTCCATAACCCCTTCATCATCAGGCTCTACAGTTATTGTTAGAAAGAGGCAAAACACATGCAATTATCAAATTATTATCATGTCGTTGACATGCATTTTTTCTGATTTCTGATTGGACGCTTGCATAATTCCAAACTCTCAACCGGATTGGTTGATTTCCAGTCTACCTTATTTTTGTATAAATACAGTCACTTTTGTCATAAATAAATGATTCTTGTTTTACCGCTGATTATCGCGTGTTCTGCTTTACCAGTTAAGTGAGCACTGGTCAGTAGTCAAGCAGTTACCTCGAGACAAAGATCTAGCATCATAACAGTTAAATATATATATATATAAATTATAGTGAATGAATGAATTAGGGTTATGGACAACATTAATGTCGCTGTTTAAGTAACATCGAATCAGAAATATTGATAGATTATAGCTCAATAGCATCAACATAAAATAAGATGAATGTCAGAAAAAATTAGGAAAGATAATAATGCAAATTCATGAATTTATAGTCTCTACTGAAGACCAGCCAAGGCAGTAGCAGGGGCTGGCTGGACTTGCTCCTTTTGAACACAGAGCACTGGTTGTTTCAGGTGAATTGCAATAGCCTCTTCTGTTTGGAGCATGCGGTGCTTCGATGATTTTGGCAATGTATTAGGCACTCGGTAGATGATGATAGAGAGGGATTCTTCCACGCTGGCTGGCTTTGTGGCCAGCTTGCACCAGATGGTCCAATATCGAACTGTTGATGGCTTTAACTACACCTTTATTTAGCCATAGTGGGATATGTTCTCGAGAGCGAAAAATCAAGTTGCTAGAGCAACGGCCAATATAATTTATTTTTATTTTTCACGTTCTAAGAGGAACACAGCGCTGCAGGGTTTTTAAGCTATGAACGTTTTGTAGAGGTGGTGTTTTTGCGTAGCACAATTGATAGCCTCACTCCTAACTGGCTAGGCAAGGCTTATGAGTGCTACCAGCACCAGGGATCGAAGGTGGTGAATCATATGCGTGGTTGGCGGGCATTCTGTCAATGAATTACTGGGGGAAAAAGGTGTGGTGAGGAACTGAACGTCAAACAGAATGAAATAATATCTTACGACAGTGAAAGAGACTCATTAAACACATAAAATCTCCATGATTGATGAAGAGTTTAAATGAGCTGTGTTTGAGCACATAGTGAAGGATTCTTAAGGCGAAAATGTCAAAAAAACCTAATCTCTTCGCTAGATTTCTTTCTGTTCTACTAGTTACTCTGAATGGTATATTTGTTAAACACATTGGGACAAAGGCTGATGACAAGAGGTGTTGAATTATAAAGCTTCTGGCTGAATGAGAGTATGCACTGTGTTTTTGCTGGCGTACTGAGTACTTTACAAGAATTAATTTCACAAGTTGATCACGGTTTGATATCAGTTAGAGAACCATTGAAAACAAGTACCGGAGTACTGGACAGCTGCTGTTTCATCCTAGTTTTGGAGTAATCGGCAGTACACACACACACACTTCCAGGGTTCGAACCCAGCACCTTCCGGTTACAAGCAAGCAAGCTAGTATACCATTCAGCCACTGGGAGTCAATTTAATGGCCAGTCCATGAATTCTAATTTCTACCAATTCGTGATTTAACGCGACCCCAAACATTGTCGTAGGTGGGATATTCATCCTCACACGTGACATCTGGATGGATCTCACTGATCACGACTTCTCACTAGAACTCACTGCAGGAAACTCCATCTTGTAGGAATAATAATAATAATCACTTTATTCCACAACAATAACAATTCACAGCATGGAATTTTCAGCGTTTCTTTTACATATTGCAATGGTTTAGCTCTGTTTATAATTATATAAAAAAATAAATTAGAAAAAAAAACCCAAAACTGAAAAAAAAAAATTTTATATTTATTTTTTTTAAATTAATAAAAAAATTTAAAAAAAAGCAAAAAAGAAGTCACTAGCAAGCATTAGATTAATTTTCTATAGTTTGGTTTTTAAGGGTTAGTTTTGATTTTTTACGATTTGATCACGGATTGATATCACGGTTAGAGAACCATTGAAAACCAGCCACTGGGAGTACTGAAGAGCTATTTCGACCTATTTTTGTTACTCATCATCAGTTGCCTAGCACTCCATGGTTTCCATTGGTTCCTTGAATGATATCAATCCATGCTGAGTAGTGTTCTCCTACTTGTTATTTTTTTCAAAAAGAAATCTAGTTATATTTTGCTGGAAATTAGTCACTAAAGTACAAAAGTAATTTAGGGGGAATTGAACAATTGTTCTCTAATCCCTTGTGTTCATCATATGCACCACATATATAAAGAAATCCAAAAGTCTTTCCTTTTATTTTTGAACACTACTCTCCTACAGCCAGTTTACCACCTTCCCTGGAATACCGTATTCTACAACCAACTGAACAAATTGACTATCCTCCACTAGTACAAACAATAGTCTCACCACCTTATCATCATGTCAAAGTTCATTATGAATACGATGATGGTGATGGTGATCGTGGCGACGATGATGATGAGGATGCTGACGATGTTGTTGCCGCCGATGGAGATGGTCGTGGTGATGCCCGATATCGAGATATCAGTCCATTATCAGATGTTGTTGTATCATATGGTAACACATACACAGACATAATTCACTAAGCATATGCATGAATAAGCATGTTATGTGATGTGATGATAATAATAATAATAATGACCTTGAAGATTTGAAATACGCACGCATATTTCTCCTATCATTTATCGATTTTATAAGCATGTAAACAAACGCAAGGTCATAGGTATTAGTTGTTCAGTCAGTGTTCAATTTTCAATGTTTGATAATCAACTTTTTCATCTTTTTCTTTTTGCTTATCCTTTTTTTTCTCAAATTTAGGTGAACAGAATGAAGATATGGATTTATTTCCACGACGAGTAGGTTTTTTTATTTTATATTTTTTACTTTTGATTACAGCTTGATTCTACACCGTATTTTTGGTACAGGTATGGAATTTTCAGCATGTGATATCTGTAGCCCAAATTTTGCAGGCCGACCATAGATATCAAGTGGGCGTTGGCCGGAGACCAAACCTTAGACAAGTGGATGTTCAGCGAGATTCATAACCGCGGTGCCACTGACGCACCGATGATTGATGTTTCTGTTTATATATATATATATATATATATGTATATACGCCACAGTGGGTTTATAGTACTTGCATTGAGAGTTGAACTGAACACCCAACGAATCAAGTGTCATAGTGTCGCCTACTAGGTTAACGTGCATCAAAAAAAAGCCTTCAAGTCCCCGTCAAACAAGTATCCTTAAATCATAAATCATACCTTCATACGTTTATTCTCTTTTATGAATTTGAATAAAACATGTTGAACAGTGGTTTGTGCAGTATAACAATGGTACCATTATTCGTTTATTTCACTGGCTTATCATCAGCTGCTTACTATCAAAGACATTATTACGTTTATGTGTAGAAACAGTTTTAACATACCTACCTACACAGAGAGGTCATTTTAAAACAAGAAACCAGAGTATGCACGCAATGGTAATTATAATAACTTTTGTATATGTATATAACTTGATCACTGTGTGTTGGTAGAGCATAACTCCATTATGGATAAGATTTTATTTTGGTAAAATCACACACACAGTGGTGTTATACAGTAATATTAACTGATGACCACGTTTCGAGCACAAATTATAGCCGTTCATGATCATATCAAGTCACTCACACAACTTTTTCCTTCATTTATATACATGAGTGAATTGGTGATTAGAAATATGAATAAAAATCAATATGGGATAATGTACATTCAGAAATAATAATACGAGTGTTATTGATAAATTACAGTGAGATGGGAAATAAGACGAGTGTTTTTATAATCCTAATGAGTTACTTGTTAGAATGTTGTGAATTTTCAGATTATTTATTATCCACTTCTGATTTGAAGGATTGGTGGTAATAATATCTTCCACACACATCTCTGGTATGCACATTGAGTCATTTCTGTTGAATGTATTGGGTGTAGGATGACTCTGTGAACCAGGATTCGATAATCAACCTCTCTGCCTCTCCACCCACATAGATTAATTCTTAGAACATTAACCCTCTCCCACCATGCTATTGTGTGATTGTATGTTAATGAATGCAGTGCAATGCATTAGCTGGGCTTTTTTCTAAATTACTCATCTTCTTGGAGTTAATCATTCCTCCCTTCGCTAAATTCTTATGTTCCTCCAATCTGATTACCCCCGATCTACTAGTTTGACCTTTATAGTTAACCTCACAGTCATTGCAGGATATTTTGCAAATGATATTATTTTGTTTAATTGGGTTCACCGGGTCTTTTAGCCTACAGAGCTTATCCCAGCTGAGTGAGTTTATAGGAGGGTTTGAATGCTACCCTAATTCCTGCTTTATTAAGAATCCTACATAGGGAGACTTGAAGATGTTCCCTCCTTATATGGTAAAGTTGTAGGTGACTTATATTCTCTCTTATTTAACTTATGACCTAAATTTTATTTCAGTTCAAGCACATCACAACATTCTAACAAGTAACTCAGTATGACTATAAAAACACTCGTCTTATTTCCCATGTGATTGTAATTCATCAATAACACTCCTATTATTATTTCTGAATGTACATTATCCCATATTGTTTTTTATTCATATTTCAAATCAAATTCACACATGTATATAAATGAAGGAAAAAGTTGTGTGAGTGACTTGATATGATCATGAACGTCTATAATTTGTGCTCGAAACGTGGTCATCAGTTAATATTATTGTATAACACCACTGTGTGTGTGATTTTACCAAAATAAAATCTTATTCATAATGGAGTTCTTATGCTAAGTTGTCCAGTCCAAACATGAAGTCTTCTATAGTTGTATTTAGTTCCTTCGCAGCTGATAAGATACAAGGAGAGAGAGAGAGAGAGTCGTGTGTAGATATATGATGCTCAGAGTTCAACCAGATAATCACTAATTTCTTGTATGAGACCATGTGTATATGTACAACCATATTAACAAGTTAGTTTTAGCGACACCTCACTCTCTCTCTCTACTGACTGCTTTTAGTCGCCCTAGTAGTATTCCAGGAAAGATTAAGGTGTTTGAAGCTGTAAAAAAGAGATAGACAGAGTACACGAATTGACAAACATAGAGAATAGAGACTGCCTGAGTGATACCGGATTGTCATAACTTCCTTATGTGGAACGTTAAATGAAATGATGTGGTTAGATCATGAAATATAATCTGAGAAAATACGTAGTTCAAGTTATTTAACATTCGATTTAATCTGAACCTCTATATCATACATGGTAATGAGACCATTAGAATTAACCAGTCTAGAGAAATCACTCCCACTGGCGTCTGAAAGTGAAATTTCTAACCTGACTGAGATTTCGAGGGACTTAGCATAAGACCATTTGACAATCAATGAGCACTGAATAATTCATTTTTTAACAACCTGATTGAGAAATAACGGGGAGAGAAACATTAAAATCGTTGGCGTGCTTAACGAAACTATGCCTCTTCAAAATGTGACAAGTCGTGTAAGAAGAAAACAAAAAAACGGAAAAGTAGAGAGAACACCACATCGACTGAGCAACACCAGCCTGAGTAAGTGAAGAAGTTGAAGACTTCCCGCTGAACACAGTGTACTGCTTCCTATCACAGTAACCTGCTTGTATCTCAGCAAGCTTGTTTAACAAAAGAGGTCCAGGTACAGACACACGCATCGGTGGCACAGAGGTTAGGAGGCTCATCGATCATGCACATGGTCCGGGGTTCAATTCCCGGCCACCGATGCGCTCCTTTACTTCGCTAAGCCAGATATAATGCTGGTAAAGAGGAAAGGTTGGGCATGAGGCTGGCTAGCAACTCCATCCTGTAAAATTAAACACTGCTACAGAAACTTCAAGTCACTAGCTTGAGGCCCCATGTTCCACTGAGAACGTGAAGGAAAAAAATAAATCAAAAGGAAATATATAAACCAGGAAGGCACACCAAGCATACTTGCCACCTCTGTCTCAATTAGAGCAAACATCATGATTTGATTTGAATAAGGCATAAAGAAGACATATTTTGCGAGAGATGATATCGTCATTTCGTAGTTTCTTTACAACCGCTTTACAACTAACATGGTTAACAATGATAAAATAAAGTTCATGGAAATTACTCAGTTAAATAAAAACAAAAGTACATACTAATGACTAATCATATTAAGATAGGTCATGCAGTCCAGGGTAGGCTAAGATTGAAGTCTATTGATTTTTGTACACACAGTTTAGGCTGTATGTGATTAATCCAAAGTGCTTCCATCACCTTCAATAACCAGACTTGAATTAGAGTTATGTGAAATAATTGTGAAACAGTCATTAATATTGATTTTGTCACCTGACATTAATAAGTGTTTTGCAATGGATGACGATGGATTTCTATTCAGATTAATCGCATTGAGATTTTCTATATGATTTAGTAGCCATTTTGGAACAAGTTCATTTCAACGACGACACTGGAACATTCTGTTGGTTCCACCTATTTAGGTATCACAGCAGCTGCAGGTGAACTTGTAGATACAGTTTGAAGTAGAGTCTACAGAATTTCGTCCTTTCATCGTAGGTAGGTACAGGGATCGAAAATGTTCGGCAAGTGAGAAAAAGAGATGTGGCGGCATAGAATATACGTTTGATGGCTGACCGAAGTGTCTTTGAGCTATCTGTCAGTTGCATAATCTGGTCGCACTTGAATGGTAGATTAATAAAGATAGCTTTCTTTGGTACAGAAGTTGTCTTTTCAAGATGTGGTCTATCCCTACTGTGACAATTGATGAAGTTTTCTGGATAACCACATTGGCTAATAAAACTGAATGTATATGTCGAAGCTCATCCATCAATGTGTCATGATTTGAGACAACAGTGGCACCAAAAAAGAGCACATTGTGATATGATTTCACTTACTCAGCTGTCGGGGTTAACTGAGAAGCTTTCATCATATCCTTGCTAGACATCATCTTCAGAGGAAACTGCAGTATGAAACAAAATTTTGTGATTTCTGCACTGTAAGTGTTTGTTATTTTTTTTTGTATCGGAATTTAATTCGCTTATATTGACTTGCAATCAAGTCAAGTTCTTTTTAGTTGGCTTATTCTTCGCTATCAGTCTTAATAAATTTGAAATGAAAACTAAGCTGAATTCTGATTTCTTTTTTTTTGTTAATAATAAATTTTCTTAAAATATTTCAGCCAAGAATACAAGTTGTACGTTCTCCGGTTGAAGCTTCTGGACGTCTCCCAAGTAAGTTTGATTTTAAGCGTTTTCGCGTAATGGATGATGACACCAATTTAAATGACATTCATGTTTAGTGAAGATTTACTCGGGAATTGTATTACCAAAAAAATTTGCAAATTACGCACACACACACAGTTTGAGGTGAAAACATTCATGGCAATATCCCCTAGAGTAAAAAAAATAAGTCACAATCATTGCATGGAGGATTTCATCATGAGCTGACATCGCTTAGACAACCACTGGAAAACTAACTGGGAGTACTGAACAGCTGTTTCGTCAGCCTGGTCTGGGACTCTTCATCAGTGCGCACCCACTATCGACAAGGTTCGAGCCCAGGACCTTCCGTTTACAAGTCTAGCGAGCTCGTAGACCACTGAGCCACTAGGACCCGGGTCCTGGGTTCCAACCCTGGCGGATGCGTACTGCCTAAGATTCGCAAACTAGGACGAAACAGCTGTCCAGTACCCCCAGCTGGTTTCCCAGTGGTTCTCTAACTAATGTCAGCTCATGATGAAATCCCCTATGCAATCAAGCAAAATTCCTACAAAACCACAACTTGAAAATAAATCAGTCTATCAAAATGCTCAGGTTCCACTTTCGGCTCCGTGTAGATCACATTTTCTAATCTGCATATATTTTAAATTTCCATGGTGAATTTCTACTCCAAACTGTGTCATTTTCAGAAAAGAACCAGTTCACTGAAGTAGGTTGGCTAGCAAGTATTCAAGTAGTTTCACCTTATTCAAATGTCTGAGAAGACACTGATGATCACCTTAGCCCCTAGAAAGCTGAAGTGTGTAACAGATGTCCAGTCTGACCAGCAAGTACACTATTGCCCCAGAGATGAATAGTTTCCAAATACTTATATACCAATCAGTACTATATATAAAACTCTGTGTAATTTATTCTCCAAATTGTTAGCAGGAATGTCAAATATAAAAACAAGAATGGAGAACATCTGAAGCTGTAAGAGGGCTCAGAAGGTGTTGTAGTTTTTTTTCCGAATTTTAGTACTGAATGATGACTATGCTTTGATACTTTTCGACTGTATAAATCTTCTCTGTTCATTAAGAACACAATGCGAAGAGACTCTTTTCAAAAACGAATTTATTCTACTGAAGAGGCACCATATTAAGGCTCATTACTACCGAACAGGGCAGAAACTGTGGTAATTAACATACTGTCCTCTCCAAGTAGGTGTTCTATAAATAGATCTTTTTATTGATCCATCAAGCCGTCGACTAAGCAGCATGTCCAGGAAACACAAACAATTATCTTCCTCTTCTACAGATGTAAGTGATATGCTATTCTGAACTTCATTCATCATTCGATTTAAAATTGAGGTGGCAGAACAAGACTTATCACCCACTGGTGATTACAATATCATCTACATACTTTGTATAAAGTGGCACATTTTCGATTAAATCCTCCGATAAATTCTCAATGTACGACATATAAATATCTGCTAAAAGGGGCCCTAACGGACTTCCCATAGGAACACCATCAATTTGGCGGAAACAATCACCTTCAAATGTAAACCTCACGTAGTTAATACACAATAATAATAAATTCCTTTTAGCAGATATTTATGTCATACATTGAGGATTTATCGGGAGGATTTAATCGAAAATGTGTCACTTTATGGAAGGTATGTCGATGATGTTGTAATCATCAGTGATGATAAGTCCTGTTCTGCCAACCCAATTTTAAGTAGAATGAATGAAGTTCAGAATAGAATATCGCTTACAACTGTAGAAGAGGAAGATAATTGTTTATCTTTCCTAGACATACTGCTTCGTCGACAGACGGCTTGATGGGTCAATAAAACGAATTTATTATCAAACTGTACAATCGTATATATATGGTTTTTTTTAAGAAATTATAACCGGTGAGGGAATTAGGTCAAAGGTGTGAATACATGAAATAATAATAGTAGTATGAAATGCACTTAAATTATTTGTGATTATAATCATAGTTTAATGTAAAGTGGAACAATAATTAATGTCATATATAGAATAATACATAAGGTGTATAGATTTTGGAAAGAGGTATATAATTATGAGATTAGTAGACGAATATAAAATGTTACATAACATGGTGTGAAATTTGATAAGACAGAATTCAACATTGTAAAAATAAAAAAAATACAAATGAATAATTTTGGGTTTAAATGTGGTGAGAGCAGGCTGCTAGCCGATTGGTTGGCACTAATCTACGTTAAGGTCTAGGTCACTAATGTGGGCCGTGAGAAGATATGAACAAGCCTGAGTCAACAACCAATCACAGCAAAGTTAACGTGGCAAAATATGATTCGCAGAGAGAACTCTATTTGTCAAGGAATCCCGAAACAACCAATCAGAAGCCTGCGTTTGTCTACCTAAACAACCAATCAGATGACTGCGCTTGTCTATAATAATGTAGTTGAAAGATGTATAAATACGTGTTGATTTTCATAATAAACGATCTGTTGCTTCGCCCTTCTTCTGTTGATGTCTAGTGGATTCACCTCTTAACTCTTTGTTATATTTAGGCTGAGTGGATTTTGTAAATTCTGGTTTAATAATGCTGCTTTGGTAAAGCTATTAGCAGCAGCATTAAATAGCGAAACGTCAGTAAAAACAAGAATATCGTTTCGTTTTTCATTCATTGGGAAATAAAAAAACAACCTTTATTATAATGAATATCACATATACCTAATACCCAAATTTTTACTCAAACTATTAAAAGTGAACTTGGTTTGGACATATATGACTCTGCTTGTCTTTAAAACCTTTTTTGCTAAAAAAAATTCAATTTCGTGCTTTTTTATATGGAAAGCATTCGGTGCATCGTCATCGTCAACAACTCGAGGAAGAACATTTTCTGGTTCCCCGGTAATTCATCCAAGTCAAGGGCAAGCATATCCCAAATCGAAACCACCGTATACATCGCCTACAAAAAGATCGTAAGTTGAAATAATGAGCATACTTGATAAATTTGTTTCTTGATTTTATTGACTTTAGAAAGCATTACTGGTTTTTTTTTTTCTATAGTTTGGTTTGTAAGGGTTAGTTATGTTTTTACAAGTTGATCACGGATTGATATCAGTTAGAGAACCATTGAAAACCAGCACCTTAGTTCTGGACAGCTGTTTCATCCTGGTAGATTGAGAATCATAGGCAGTACGCACCCACCGTCAGGGTTCGAACCCAGCGCCTTCCGGTTACCAAGGACAGCGAACTCGTATACCATTTAGCCACCCAATGGGACCCGATTCAATGGCCAGTCCATGAATTCTAACTTCTACCAACTCGTGATTTAGCACAACTCCAACAATTGTTGTTGATGGGACATCCATCCACACATGTGACATCTAATTGGACCTCACTGGTCACGACTTCTCACTAGGAAATTAATCCGATGCTCACTAGTGACTTGCTATAGGATGGAGTTTCCTAAAGTTAGTTCTAGTGATAAGTCGTGACCAGTGAGGTCCAATTAGATGTTACTGGTTGTTGTTGTTGTTGTGAGTGAGTGCTATCCAACTACTCATTTTGGACAATCAGTAATATGTGGCCACCATCAAAAAAAAAATAATAATTAAACTCAAGGTATTGTTGAAATATCCATAAAAGGAGTCGACCAGGCTTTTTTAGCCCAATAAAAATCCTTAACGACAAAATTATCCATAATGGCTGTACAAATGAACTAATAGGAATTTAATCTGTTTTTCAAATCTGTCCACGGAATGGTGTCAGTTAAAGAACCACTGGAAATCGCCAGGGAGTACTGGAAATCTATTTCATCAGACTAGTTTGGGACTCATAGGTAGTATATGCAGCCACAGGGGTTCGAACCCAGAATCTACCGGTTACAAGGCAAGCTTGTAGACCATTCAGTTATACTGGAACAGGATTCAATGGTCCATGAGTTCGGGTGTTCGCTGGTGACTCTCTCTACAGGACAAAGTTGCCTAAAGTTCTAGTGACAAGTCATGACCACTGGTGTCCACCCTGTCTGGGGTCAAGTTAAATACTTACCGATGATGATATTGGCTGGTGGTTGCACTGAAACCACAGATTGTTAGAAATTAGAATTCACGGGACATGGAGTTAGGTCGCAGTGACAGGAAGGTCCTGGAATAGAGCCATGTCGGCGAGTGCTGACTGATGATGAGTCCCAGGCTAGGATGAAACAGCTGTCCAGTACTCTCTGTCATATATATTTATCAGAAACATATGACGTTCTCTTATTGCATAGAGGATTTCACCATGAGCTCACATCAGTTAGAGAACCACTGGAAAATCTGGGAGTACTGGACAGCTGTTTCGTCATCTTAGTTTGGGACTCTTCACCAGTACGCACCCACCGACAGGGTTCAAACCCGGGCCCTGCTGGTTACAAAGCTAGCGAGCTCGTAGACCATTGAGCCACTGGGACCCGATCTATTGGTCAACCTATGAATTCTAACTTTAGCTAATTCACGACATAGCGCGACCATTTCGCAATGTCTTCTTTGATGCGTTACCGCCTCACCTTCGACCTGCTCTACCCTAATGGTCACGGCTTCCTACTAGAACCCCAGGTTAACTTCCTGAGCATCAGACTAATTTTCAAGTATTGGTTTTGTAGGGATTTTGTTTGATTGTATGGAGGATTTCATCATGAGCTGAGAACCACTGGAAAACCAGCTAGTCTACGAGGTCACCTTGTAACCAGAAGGTCCTGGGTTCGACCCCGATGGGTGCGTACTGATGAAGAGTCACAAGCTGGGTTAAAACAGCTCTCCGGTACTTCCTCTCATATTTGTATTTATCAGAAACGTATAGCGTTCTCTTAGTAAACACTAAAGAGGTGACATTACTGAAGCAATAACCCAGAAGTGATTTCCATGGGAACATTACTTAACAGTTAATGACAGTGGAAGTAAGTATTTCAAAATTTGTTGAAGTGATGCAAGGTAGCAGAATGTCCACTGGGATAGAACTTGGTGAAATTTACAAAAAGGAACAAGTAAAAATGATCATAGTGAATTAATTACTGAGAATACTTACAAAAGAGTAGCAATGAGTTGTATTTCCATGGTAGAATTAGAGGTTACACTGAAAAAACCCCTATACAAAAGTGCTGAATGCCCACCCAAATACTGATTCCACTGTGGAAGCTGAGTTTGACTCAATGTTTTACTTCCTTTGGTGTTCAACCAAGAAGGAATGCTGAAAACTCTCTGAGAAGATCCATCTACAAAAAGCTCATATGCAATGGTTAGTTTATCAACATTCAAAGTTGTATGCCTCTAAGCAGATAGAGAAATTGAATATACTGTCTCTCATCGAGTATCCTGAAAATATTCTTTGAGGGATCAGTTGATAGAGAAGTACGAATTCTCCCAGGGACTTTGGGCAGAAAATAGTATCCTATCCAGGTTCATAGACAAGAATCTAAAGATCCGATTAAATCTAACAAAGGGAGTGAATCAAGGCATTTGGGAGTAATTGAGGCACTGGCGATCCAAAAACACAAGCTGATAATGTGCTTTCAAAAAAGAATTTTCTTCACTGTAACCGTATTTTTAATAATAATGACCCAGTGTATATATATTCCGTGAAATTGCTATACACAAATCCTGGAACTTAACACTTCCTGGACCACTTGGCTTTTCATCTTGTACATAAATTTCATGGACATCTCTAGTGAAGTGACGTGGCCTATATTCAACAGGTACTCGAGCTAGTTGAGCTAGTAATTCATTGTCTTATATTATCTTCTTGATAATAACCATGTTGAATCATGTTCAGAGATGCTTTGGGATAGTGTACTCTTTGTGTGATCAATAGAACTAGCTCCATAAGAGCAGGTGAATTCATTAACCTACATGAAAGTGAGGCAAAGTGACTGGTCATGTATAAAAAAGAATTATATTTGTAAAATCTCGGAGAGATTGAAATGAGTAATTCCAACGTTTCCTGTGTTCATCAATCTCGTCCAAACTTCTTCAGGGAAATTAATCGAAATTAACATAACAGAGGTTTATATATAAAGACTGGGACATCTCTTGTTTTTAAAAACTTTGTTTAATCATGGGTCATATAAACAGGTATTAACAAGTATAATAAACAAAATTGTACGAGTTGTGATCAAAATGTGACCTGAGACTTACAAATATTGGTCTACCTTTGTTAGATACTTTAAACTTGAACTTGGTTTGGACATATATACTTTAAACACAGTGTGTATGTGTGTGTGGGTAAACAGTTGTAAAACAACGTCTTAACGTCTCCATAAGAAGATATAGACAGTCAGGAACTTTGACCAAGTATTATTAGTTAGTGAGACATACCCATTTTTATTTATTAATCAGGATTAGGACTCTCGCCGACCATGCACATGGTCCGGGGTTCGAGCCCACGCCGACGCACACCTGATATCTATGGTCGGCCTGCGAATTTTGGGCTACCGATATCCACGCTGAAAATTCCATACTTGTACCAAAAATACGGTGTGGAATCAAGCTGTAATCAAAAATAAAAAAAAATAAAATTTCCTATGCATCAGCTAACATCACACTTTCATGTCTGTTCAAACTATTAGTATCTAGAATTTTATGATTAGACGTATTTTCAAAATTATGGTGTTTAGGATTAGAGTTTAGCTGAAGCACCCTGTCAAACTTATTGCTTTGTCTTCTTTCTGAAAATTGAGCTGCTATACTCGACCTACTGGAGCTGTCAGGTGACTGGTCAGCTTGTTTATTATACTTGTTAATACTTGTTTTATGACTCGTGATTGGACAAAGTTTTTAAAAACAAGAGGTGTTCCTTTTATACATAAACCTCTGTTATGTTAATTTGGATTCTCTAACTGATGTCAGCTCATGATGAAATTCTCCATATAATTTGGATTAATCTCCCTGAAGAATTTCGGACCAGATTGCCGAACGCAGGAAACGTTGAAATTACTCATTACAATCTTGCTGAGATTTTATAAATATAGTTTTTTGTTTACAAAAGTCTACTTCTCACTCGGTGCTCAAATATTTTAGAACTATTCTGTCAAATCTTGACGACAGTTCATTTGAATTATTTTGTAATTGAAAGTACCTGGTCGTTGAATTGTCATCTTTCATGATTGAGATGCGTGTTTTCGGTCTTTTGATACCCACTGCACAAAAGGTAGCTTTCGTGGCCCATCAGTCTAGTGATTCAGCATCGCCTTCGGATGCAAATCCATCCATAGGACAAGTTCGAGATGGAGGAAAGACTGTTAGCCTCCGTCAACGAAACAACACAGTGCATTTATTTCAACACACACACTTTTTGAACTTTTTCGCAGTTTTTCTGATTTTGAATATGACTGTCAAAACAGAATGTTTGATAAATTGTTGTTTCAAGCCTCCTGAAGTAATACAAAGGGTCGATAGGAATCATGGACAGTGGTACCAGTCACCACATATATAAAGCAACCACAGACACAATGACAGGAATACTAAACATCACAGAAATAAAACTACCTATCTTTAGTATACTTCATATATTGAAACCAAGTCAAGCATTAAATACCTTGGATTAGTTCTTTCCTCTGATCTTTCATGGTCCACATCCCACATCTTATCTATCTCTAAGAAAATGTTCTATCTTACCTTCTACATTAAAAAGTTAAGACAATCAGGTATCAACCAACCTTTATTTCTTCAGTTTGTTAACTCCTGTATTCTACCTATTGTACTCTATCGCTCTCCGTTAATCTTTCCTGGGCTTCTCAAAAAAGACTATATCATATTAAATGATGTGAGTAGGGCCTGTGGTAGGCTACTGCGTGAGCTCGCCAATATCATAGTAGAGTGACATCTAACATCCTGTACAAAATGGGCAAAGACTGTACTGTCAGACTCCCTGCACCCCCTTTATTCACAACTGTCCCCTTCCATCTCATCAGGTAGGAGGAGAAGTCAATATGAGAAGGTACATGCTCGCACCACCAAGTAAAAAATTCTACAATGCCCTTCCTATTTAGCCCGTATTTTATGTGATGAAGACACTGTTAGATGTGAAACGTATAAGTTACTATGTAATTAGCAAAGTGAATCGACCCTTTCATCGTTCATCTTTCTGTAATTTTATGGTGTCACTCTTTCTATCGTTCAGTTATAACTCTGCTATTTTATTTTAGTTGTTATTACTATTATTATTACAACTTTATACTTTATGCACATTTTTCTCTTTATTGCATACTGTAATTTGCTGCATAGCTGCTATAACAACGTTTTGTTATTATTATTATGTAATGTTTACTTTTGTTTTTGTCGTTTTTGAGTAAATTAGATGCAATATTTTACTGAATGCTGAAAATTCCTTGCTGTATCATAAGGACTTTTTTGTAATAAAGCAAAAATTATAAATAATTATTTCACCACAACTCTCCCTGTTTATTCCTATTCTTTACAGACATTTCTGGGGACACTCAAGTTACGATGAACAATGGTCAAGGCCACCAGTCGGTGAGTAAATGTATACACAGAGGCGACAGTTTATTATTATTACTCCCTTGGGTTCCTAGTGGAACATAAAGCTTCAACTGCACGTCTCTACTTGTTTCTATCTTCTGCTCCACTCTTCACCTGCATCCATGTTAGTCCATACTGTTTCAACTCCTCTTCACACGATCTCCTACATGTCACCCTTGCCCTGACGTCCCACTCGCCGTTTCCTTTTCAGCCTAGTTCCACTCGAGTAATAGCCTGACGCGCGCGCGATGTCACCAGCGGCCTCCTCAGCGAGTGAGTGTCCAATCCATCTCCACTTTCTCCTGCAGATTTGTTGGGCGATTGGTTCTCGTCTGTTGGTTTGTTCCCATAGTTTCTTGTTGGTGACTCTTTTCGGCCATCAGGCGACAGTTTAAAATGTGTAATTTCTTGTATATGAGATTTTATTATTGTCAGTTTTATGCCTTTTGGTTCCGAGTGAAAGATAGGTCTTCATTAGCATACCTTCATTTCATCAAGTTCAGTGAATTCTTTTTCAGCTTGTTGCACTGTTGTCTCTAATGCTATCTCCTCCAAATTTTATTCCCCATGCTTAGTACAGTAGGTTTCCCTCTCTAATTTCAGATTAATGAAGGTTCCTCTTGCTTTAGCGATTCTGTCTCTGACGTCTTCGCGTGTGGCAGCTGTACTTCAAATGATTCTGCCTTGATAAGTGAAACTGACGAGGTTGTGAAGTTCCGTCGTCTGAAATGGTTAGGACGTGTGTTACGTATGCGTAGCCTAGCCATTGCCATCCTCGACTTAAGGGAAATGCTACCTGACTGACATAGAATGGATCAGGTTAGAAAAAAGCTAGTGGCTGGTGGTCAAGTCAAAACATGACTTCATAACTCCATGAAATCCATAGCACTTAGTTTAAGCCAGCCAAGTAGGAAGGTGTAGACTGCCTCACTGGCTGGTTAGGGTCCTTGGGACAGTGAGAGCCAATGCAGGTTGGAGACAATCGGTGATATGGCTCAAAGCCATTCTCAACCAGTGATGTCGCAGATGCATTCACTCTTTGTGACTTAATATATGTCCAATAAAACTCTGTTTTTCTTCCATATTACTACTGTTGTTTTTCCCTCACTCGCATTTCTGTTTATAATCTCTCCCATTGAATTTCTGTTTTACTCTGTTCTCTTCTTTTGTGCGCTGCATATGCGTGGGCGGCACAGTGATCGGATGTTCACCGACTTCGCATGTGGTCTGGGTTTCGATCCCCGGCCGGTGCACTCCAATACTTCGTTGAGCCAGTAATAAGACTGGTTAAGAGAGAAGGTTAGGCATGAGGCTGGCTAGCAACCCCACATCCTGTAAAAATAAACACCACTGCTACCGAAATTTCAAGTTTATAGTGTGAAGGCCCCTTATGTTCCAACGGGAACATAAAGGAATTTAAAAGAATGGAGGGAGAATGGCAACTTGAACTGCTGCACATCTGTTCAAATTTCTACGTTGAAACCAGTCAGTCAGTTATTTTAATTGAATTTTAGATTTTCCTGTCGATTGATTGGACTGAAGTGCTCGGTCTCAGGTTGACATGTCGGCGCTTCTTGTGCAGATGCTTCGACGATATTTGAGCATTTAATTAGAATTTGATTGGTTGATGGTGACTGGTAGTGGAATCAAGCCATGATGCTCGTTTCGTCATATTTTGAGTGATGATGTCCCCACCTAGCTCGAACCCAGTGCCTATAGATTCAAACGCCAAAGCGTTGTTATCCACTATACCACTTGGGCCACGAGAGCCACCTCTTGTACAACGGGTCATATTAATGATTAAATTGAATTTTAGATTTTCCTGTCGACTGATTGAACTGAAGTGCTTGGTCTAGTGCATAAGGCTTTGGAGTTTGAAACTATGGGCACTGGGTTTTAGCCTCAATGGGAACATCATCACTCACTGGGAAAATGCAAGTACATCCATCTGGAGGACGAGTCCTAAATAGGATGAAATGCGCATCCTCGTGGATTCCACTGCTAGTCACCATCCACTAATTAAAGTCAATCAGTTAGATAAGTGAAAAGAATAACTTCCTTTGAATTTTCCCCGTTGAAAGCGATCAGCACATACAAGATATACCCCGTAATATTAATTGTTGTACACGCAAATGTGAAACTTGTGATTACTGAGCCTATCATTACAGTATTTCTATAACCCCTAAAACCCACACTGCATCTTGTTGAGATTTTCTTTACTGACTGTATTTCCTTAACTCGCACAGCCAGGTGACGAGAATTTAGTTGTCTCAAAAGTAGGCTAATTCCATTACATGCCCTGATGATGAGTTTAGCTCCACAAACAAACGGAAAGCCTATTTACCCCCTCATGACTAATTAGGTTGCTCAAGGTAGAGGACAAGAGGAATTTGATATCTCTCTATAAAGCGAAATTATGTACATTACAAAATTGTTTAAATTAATGCCAGCGTGCTTAAGAAAATCAAGACAAGATCTGTTTTCTGAACGTTTCGCTGTGTAAGCTGTCACAGCTTCTTCAGCGGCAGATTTATTCGGATTTTTATTAATCATCAAAATATATAGTCAAAAAGTTTTACATAAATTGATATCAGTTTATTTAAAGGTCACAGATGAAAAAATAACAAAACTTTGTGAGCCTCCATGACCTTTTAAAAAATGTAGTATCATGTTTATCACTTATGAATTCACGTATTTTCCATATGACAAATAACATACATATACACACGCATACAAAAGTAATCTTACAAATCAATTATAGAAGATTTAATCATGAGCTGACATCAGTTAGAGAACCACTGGGAAACCTGGGAGTACTGGACAGCTGTTTCGTCCTAGTTTGGGACTCTTCATCAGTAAGCACCCACCGGGATTCGAACCAGGACCTTCTGGTTACAAGGCGAGCACGTAGACCATTGAGCCACTGGACCCAACCAATGGTCCTTGAATTCTAACTTCTGCCAATCCGGTGGGTGCGTACTGATGAAGAGTCCCAAACTAGGACGGAACAGCTGTTCAGTACTCCCAGTTGGTTTCCCAGTGGTTCTCTGACTGATGTCAGCTCATGATTAAATCTTCTATAATTGATTTGTAAAGATTACTTTTGTATGCGTGTGTATATGTATGTTATTTGTCATATGGAAAATACGTGAATTCATAAGTGATAAACATGATACTACATTTTTTAAAAGTTCATGGAGGCTCATAAAGTTTTGTTATTTTTTCATCTGTCTTGCTTCATAAGAGTTTGCCATGTAGAGGTGATAAGTCTATCCCTTCTTTCCTATTCACTGCATTCGATGTGGTTCAAATCTGCAAGGCTTCAGAAGTCAATCTTTTTTTATGTGTTGAATGAAATCCTCTTCCAAGAATTTCGACACCAATGTCAATTCATGATGAAATCCTGTTCTCCAGTGGGAAATCGTAACCAGTAGGGTGCAGAAGGTCAGGTGTGAGGACAAATACTCGCCACCGAAGACATTGCCTAGTGGTCGCGCTATGCCGTGAATTGGCAGAAGTTAGAATACATGGACAGGCCATTGGATCGGGTCCCAGTGGCTTAATGGTACACGAGCTCGCCTTGTAACCAGGAGGTCCTGGGTTCGAAACCCTGTGGTGGGTGCATACAGCTAAAGAGTCCCAAACTAGGCTGACGAAACAGCTGTCCAGTACTCCCAGCTGGTTTCCCAGTGGATCTCTAAACATTGTCAACTCATGATGAAATCCTGTAACCAATCAACCAAATCCCTACAAACCAACACTTGAATACCATAAATATGTGTTGATTTCGTAAATAAACTATCTGTTTCCTGGCCCTTGTCTTCTCTTGTTACAACAGAACGTTTAGCAACCAGGAATTACTGGACAACGCTTCCGTCCTAATTTGAGGCTCTTCACCAGTACGCCACTCTGTCGAGCATTCGACGAGGAGTATAAAAATCCAGCGGCCCATCATTTTTAACTTCTACCGATTCGGCATACAACATGACTACCAGCCGATGCTATCGGTAAACTGGGGCATAGATCTAACCAGCGCTTCTGTAGAAATATTTATGTTAAGTACTAGTCAGGTACAAATTTGAAATTCATAAATATTGACATGTGTTCTCCATAACGGAGCCTCACTTTACAATTGTGTTCACTGAATGACAATGATCAATCCATATTCCATACTTCTATCTGAATGATTCTTTCATAAAGACGAAAACGTCTGATGAATTTGTCAATTTGCTAAAGTTCTTTTTAAAAATTTTGTAAGCCTTCCTATCAATATTTTTTTTTCTTTCACTTTTATATTACAGCAGATGGGCCTACAATTGATCGATCCTCTTGTACAAGTCCAGTTCAAACACATTCCGGCCGCCTACTTCGATCTCCAGTTAGTCCTCCACCAAGAGGATATATTCGACGACCATCAGAATTACTTGATGTTGGCAGTCAATCCGACACAGGAATTATAGGTGGTTTTGGTTCACGTGTGTATCCTGGTACCGCATATTCTGCTCATGATTATCCAAATAGACGACAGTACAGAGGAGCTCGGGGAAAAACTGCCGTTAGTGCCAAACGAGGACAACCTTCACAAATGCCTTTATACAGAAGTCCAGAAGTAAATAAATCGCATAGACAGAAACATACAGTTTCAACAGGGTTGGGTAAGGATCTGTTTATTTAGAAAAAAAAATCTTGAATAATATTTTCAAATACTGACATCAGTTTATCAAATAAAACCTCCCAATTCTTCACGTTTCCATGATATTTTTTTTCTGGATAAATCTCTAAGATCTCAAAATCCCTTAGTCATAAGTCTTAAAGGACAGTGGTTACTTGGATAAATAAAACGTAGTCCAGTTACACAACAAATCACCAGTATAATCCACAGTTCAAGGGTCCACTGCTGGATTGTGTCCACTAGCAGAATTTTTTCACCTGTGGTTGAAGAGACTGAAGAGACGTGGGCGAGATGTTCATGTAGTTAACAGAGCAAGCACGTATGCAGCAACATATTGCGAGGGCCAGGCAACAGATCGTTTATTAAGGAAATCAACGGATATTTATAGATTTTCATGTACATTATTATAGATTATTGTAAGCAGAAAAACAAAGTCCTCTGATTGGTTGTTTCTCACAGAAAGTTAACCCTGCATACCTTTGTGACTGTTTCTTGAATGTCAGATCATCTATAGGTTAACTGTATCCGGTTACACAAAGCGTTTGTTCATATTTTTCTCACGACCAATATTGGGGACATAAACATTGAAGTAAATTACTGTCCACCAATTTTGACTAACAGCCACCTCTCACCATAAGTAGACAGTAGAAACTCGTGTGAGAACGAAACGAAGAACAGCCTGACGACAGTGTCATTCCTAATTGAAAGTTATATTCCACATATAGATGTCGATTAAAACAAAAGTAGAAACTGTACAAATTTACTGTTCAGGATTCCACAAATTTCCTTTGCCTGGAAAACGTTTTTGACTGCTTCATTCCGCCGCAAACTTACAAGTTCACAACGCCAGCACTGATGTTCAAATTCAATCGACAATACACTGTACACTCTTTAATGTCTACAGGGTTAACGTAACCATGCTACTGCCGCATAACTGACTAAACTGTAGACGTCGCCACGTCTCTTCCTCTTACAGGATTTATTTGACACACAATTTCCTTGCCTCTATTCCTTTAGCGTTCAGAGTAGAACACAGAAGTACAGGTTTGCGAATTTTCAACACAGAGGTAACGTTGGAGTTTCTGCCTTCATGTCTAACCTGCCTTCTTTATCGAGATTACCACCTTCTAGTCAACTAGGCTAGGTGTAGAAATGCGCTAGTCGGGAATCCAACACCAGACCAAATATACGCTTGGCGAACATTCTACCGTTGTACTGTAACAACAGAAGACAAGGTCAGCAAACAGATAGTTTATTTATGAAATCAACACATATTTAGAGATTTTCATGTACATAATTAGAGATTATTGTTAGCAGACAAACACAGTCCTCTGATTCGTGGTTTCTCGCTGAACGTTCATCATCTATCATCTCTTCGTGGCCATTTATTGAAGTTTAGATTGTCTATCCACAAATTGTATCTGTCTATGCAAAGTCTGATGTGATGATGGGTTGTTGAGTCAGTCTATGTTCTTACTTTTCTTGTGACCAATATTGGAGATGTAAACATTGACTTAAATTACTGTCTTCCGAATTGGCTATCAGCGCCAGCTCTCATCACAGTACTACCACCAATGATACACATTATTCGACATTAAACCTAGATGTAAATATCGCTCAGAAGCATTTCCATTCCTTTGTTAACTGATTTAGTTCAGTTAGACACAGCGGCTCCATTCAATCTCTTAAAAAAAAATAACTCAAAGTGAATATCTACGTCAATACTTGAAGGTGGGATTTTTTCTATTTTCCATATCACTGTGTTCTGTTATCAGGTGAATGGTTGTCCATCGTGCCATCGTCTCTACAGTGTTAATTTATAGAGTTCGAATGCTGTTCTTGGAAATTGTCCAGGAATCTTTTTTAACCATCTTTGTTAAATAATCTTAATCCAGAAGGATTTTCTCATTCTTGTCTTCACTTGTGTTGATACATATCGTTTTGATTGCATAGAGAGCATTTCACCATAAGCTGACATCAGTTAGAGAACCACTGGAAAACCAGTTGGGAGTACTCGACGGTTGTTTCGCCCTAGTTTGGGACTTTCAGCAGTACGCATCCACTGTGGTTCGAACGCAGGACCTTCAGGTTGCAAGGCGAGCAGCTCATAGACCATCGAACCACTGGGACTCTATCTAATGGTTCTTGAATTCTTACTTCTGTCAGTTCACGACATAGCGCCACCATTTCGTAATGTCTTCTGCAATGAATTATTACCTCGTCTTCGACCTGTTGTATCCTACTGGTCACGGCTTCCCGTCAGAACTCCAGATTAACTGCCTGAATAGGGCTAGTCGCTAGTGAGCATCAGATTAATTTTGCAAATGGCTCAATAGTCTACGAGCTCGCCTTGTAACCGGAAGGTCCTGGGTTCGAACCCTAGCGGGTTGGATGTGTACTGATGAAGAGTCCCAAACGAGGCCAAGGAAACAGCTGTCCAGTACTCTCGGGTTTTCAAATGGTTCTCTAACTGATGTCAGCTCATGATGAAACCCTGTAACCAATCAATCAAATCCTTTGAAACCAATACTTGAAAGTTTATCTCTCTGTTGACCTGGTAGTTGGTAAATTTTGATATCTTTCAATGTGTGTATATGTGTACATGTATGTGCTAAATGAATTTTGATGTCTCCTTTCATTTTTCGTTTCTGTTATAGAACAAGTGCCAGACAATGTCTTCATGGTGCTAAGTAAAATATCCGCCTCCGCGCATATTTGGTACCGTCCTGAGATGTCACGGAATGATGGTAAGTGTAGTTAGTTGTGTATGAAAAGCTGAATTTTTCCTTTGGGGATTATTAATAAAACAGAAAATAGTATTACTGTGGTTATGTTGGGTTTTATGTGGAACATTCTGCTTGCCTCTTCCTTAGCTGTCCCTCGACTGCCGTTAAGCTCCGACTTCCTTCCCCCTCTCGATCTTCTCCATGTCACCCTCTGGCTTATACCTGAGTAGTCGTTTCTCATGTATGCTCCACTCAAGAATCTAGCCTGGTGTGTGATTTCACAAAACAGTCCGCTCAAGATGGGCCGGCTTACCTCCATTACCTTCGGCGGATTCACGAGATGACAGGTCCTTAGATGGTTCGTTAGCTGGTGTTAAACAGTCATCAAACTGACAAAACGTTAGTTATGCGCATTATTAGTTAACAAGATTATATTCGCAGAATAAGTGTTCGAAGGTAAACCAATTACAAATAAATTCTACAACTTCCTGGCTAGAAACACCTAAGGAAATGAGTTTTATGTAACTAGGCAAGTGTAAGGCACACTTTGAAAAGTGCGGCAAAGATAGAAGACTTCAGATGTACATAGGGAAAACAGAGGTGATGAAGATTCCTGGCCAACAGCAACAGCAACAGCCACAGCAACAACAGACAACAATCAGCCAGCATGAATGGGAGAAATGTGAAAGAAGCGTTCTCCCTTACCTACCGACCTGGGAAACATCATTTTAACTAAAGGCGGATGGAAGTGATGAGAATATCAAAGTGGGAGGATTGGGAAGCCAAGGCAAGATTTCATTACTCTCAAGTCTGTGCGTGGATATCAATAGCACCACTCAGCATGAAAAATAAAATTTGGATTTTCAACTCCAATATGAAGTCAGTGCTACTCACAAGACGGATCAGAGACTTGGCGGCGCATCATAGAGGCCCCTTCGAACAAACTAAAGACCATCATCATCAACAGATGTTTTCACTCAATACTACTCAAAATCAGATGGCCAGAAAGGATAAGCAACAGGGACGGATCTCCGGCGGTGAACGAAACAAACCATCAGGAATCAATTGTGCAACAAACGTGCAGGAAGAAATGGAGGCGGGTTGGCCATGCTCTGGCTAAACGAGCCACTATCAAGTGACAACGCACGCCAGGCCATCGCTCGAGTCGAACCTGAATGGGAGGTTGCGATTTAGTTGGTCGTCAGTGCGAAGGTGACATGGGAGAGAGGAGATCATGCGAAGTGGAGATGAAAGCATGTGAGCAGACATGGAGCCATGTGAAAACATTGGTGGAGAACCAAATGTAATGGAGACGTCCGGCTGAAGCGCTATATTCCTCTATGAACTAAAGGAAAGGATAAGACATGTTAATAAGTTTACAGAAAAACTAGATCGGACGTGATGAAAAAATCGATTGTGTGGAATTGTCAACACAAGGCTAAATTGTATGAAGCAGAGTTGTTTGATGACAACAGAATCAACTAATCGATATTATTTGTTGTTCATGATAAATGCGTACTGAATATCCAGTTGATGTTCTATCGTGATTGGGTGTCTGATGATGGCACCAGTAAGTGACACTAGGGCTCTATAAACTCCTCCTAAGTTACTTCTCCTGGCATATACGTGTCAGATTGTAAAACAAATGCTGAAGATGATTTCTACTTGTCCACTTTCAGTCGATAAAAAGCACCAGTGGTGCTGTAAGTAGACACAGGCGTAGCCGTCGGATAAGTTTTAGCATGGATAACTCTTTGTCTCACGTTGATTCAGGATGACACATCATCTCCACTGAAGGTAAGGTGACTTTTCCCCGAGTCGTCTTATGAATTTCTTTATGTACGCCTTTTTTGAGACAGTCTCCTCCATTTTTTGCATTGACAAGGAGTAGTTAATAGGAACTACAGGTAATCCATTGGACTTAGTTAAGTGTTTAACAAACCGCCGAGCAGTAGCACTAAGTAGCACAAGGAAAGACCTAAATGATGAAATAAAACAGATAGAAGAGCAGCAGGTTGGTGTTAAACAACTAACTATCCTATAAAATTCATTAGGAAGATCGAAAAAGGCCAAAAGCAAAATAAAAATAATTGTGGAACTAGTAAGAAAGAATATAAGTCATCTACTGTTATACCATATAAGGAGGGGACATCTGAGACCCTAAGCAGGATTCTTAATCAAGCAGAAATTAGGATGACATTTAAACCCTCCTACAAACTCACTCACAGACAAGCTCTTGGGGCTAAAAGACCCAGTAGGATGACCCAATTAGACAAAATAATATAATTTACAAAATACCCTGCAATGACTGTGAGTTAGGTCAACTATATAGTTCAAACTAGTAGATCAGAGGTAATCAGATTGTCGGAACATAAGAATTTAGCTAAGGTAGGAATGGTTGACCCCGAGAAGATGAGTAATTTAGAAAAAAGCTCAGCTTTTGCACTACATGCATTAACGCACAACCACACAATAAGTCGAGTGGGAGAGGGTTAAGATTCTAAGAAGTAATCAAGGTAGGTGGAGAGCGACAGAGGTTGATTACTGAGTTCTGGTTCATTGGATAATCTACACCAAACACATGCAACAGAAATGACTCAATGCAAACACCAGAGATATGTATGGAAGATATTATTACCGCCAGTCAGTCAAATCAGAAGAGGATAATAAATAATCTCAAAATTCTATTTCAATTCAAACACATCGTAACATTCTAACAAGTTACTTATTATGACCATAAAATCACCCGTCTTATTTCCCATCCGATTGTAATTGATAAATAACACTCATATTATTATTTCTGAATGTACATTATCCCATATTGATTTTTACTCAAATATCTAATCATCAGTTCCACACGTGTATATAAATGAAGTAAAAACAGTTGTGTGAGTAACTTGATATGATTATGAGCAGTAATAATTTGTGGTTGAAAATTGGTCATCAGTAGGTATTACTGTATAACACCACTGTGTGATTTATCAAAACAAAATCTTATCCATAATTGAATTATACTCTACCACAATGCCGAAGTTTTATACTTATAGACCCATAGTTATTCATAAGCATCTTTTTCGTTGATATTACACATACTACTTATAAATTACTACCACTATTGCTGTTGTTGTTGCTGATGGTTAAAGAAACTTTTTCTTTTTTTTTATGGTTTTGTAGCAATGGATTTAGTCAGAGCTGAAGCACCAGGAACATTTGTAGTACGAAATAGCGGCAGCTTTCCACACTCATTTGGATTGGTTGTTAAAGTCGACCGACATCACACGCATGGTTAGTTTGTGAATCATTTGCTTCCTTATTACTTTTATTACTTCAATAACTTCGATTTGAAGATTATTTATGTTATTTTTGTATTCTCTGCAATGCTCGTCACCGTTGACACTTCATCGCCCCCCTCGGATGGATGCCTCGACGATTACTGAGAGCCAACACTATGCTACTAATGGTTGGGGACCGACTCTAACTCTGTTTCTAGTTTGATCAAGGATTCACGTCAGTTAGACAAACAGAGAAAACTAGCATAGAGAGTATTGGATAGCTGTTTTGTGCTATTTTGGGACTTTTTAGCGCTGGCTAGCTCTTCATAAATTAATCTGATACTGACTAGTGACTGCCTAAAAGATGAAATTTCTCTGAGTTCTTCTAGGGAGTGAGAATTCCTGAGGTCCATTGGAGTCCAGCAGGTCCAAACAATACTTACCACGGATAATATTGGCTGTCAGAAACGGTGAAAATCGTGAAATGACAGACATTAGAATTCATTGGATAGTCATTTATAAAATTATATTTGTAAAATCTCAGCGAAAGTGAAATGATTAATTCCAGCGTTTAGTTCGGTAATCTGGTCAGAACTTCTTCAGGGAAATTAATCGAAATTAACATAACAGAGGTCTATATATAAAAGAAACATCTCTTGATTTTGAAACTTTGTCCAATCATGAGCCATGAGACAGGCATCAACAGATATGATAAACAAAAATTAGAAAATTAGACGGCAAATTTAAAATAAACATTTCCAGAAAGCCGACAAATTCGGATAGTTACCTAGACTACTATTCAGCTCACCCATTTACCACCAAAGTAACTGTGGCCAAGAATTTAATCAACAGAGCCATACGTCTAGTTACTCTGAGGAGGAAGATATTAGCAAGGAACTAAAATTGGTCCAATCCACTGTTGAATCAAATAATTATCCTAAAGACTTCATTAAAAGATATTTAAAATGTGAAGACAAGGATGAATTGAAACCTGCTGCTAAGAATTGGGTTAGTACAGCGATGGTTTTTCTTACTGCAAAGAAACATCCGATGAAATAAGCAGAATCCTTAACGACGATAACATAAGAGTATATTTTCGTGCAACTAACACCTTACGCTCGTTACTAGTGAAGGTTAAGGATTAAATAGAACAAGAAAACCAGCAGAATTGCGTATATCAGATCAATTGTGGGGATTGTAACGCTGCATATGTAGGAGAAACTTCTAGACAGGTAAATATAAGAGTGAAAGAGCATAAACAATCTCTAAAGGTGGTTCCAAAGACCTCTGTAGAATTGAAGAAGCTAGAAAACAACTCAGCGATTGCATTACATTCAATAGAAACGGGACACAAAATCGACTTTGATAAGACTTAGGTTTTTCAGAAAGGTTTTGGTTCGTATAAAGAAAGACTGACTGCAGAAGCCCTTCATATATGGGTGAATCCCAACAGTTTGAACAGACGTGAAGGTGTGATGTTAGGTGATGCATGGCAAATCCTGACTAATAAATAAAATAAAATTTGATATATATCAACAACTAGTCAAACTTGGTCGAAATTCCCGATTGTCTACGTCTTCTTATGGAGAAAATAACAAATGTTTTACAAATATAATTTTATAAATGTCTAAATCTCTCAATTATTTTGCAACTATCCGGTCAAATCGTGATCACAGTTCATATGAATCATTGGATAGTAGTTAGATTCCAGCTCTGTGACTGACTGGTTAACGAGCTCGCCTCGTAACCTGAAGGCATGAGTCTTGATCCTTGACGGGAGATTCACATACTAGGTTGTAAGAGGTCTTCCTGTAGACCCTGGTTTTCAATAGTTCTCTGATTAAAATGAATCCATAATTAAAACCTGAAACAGAAAGATAATATTAACTTCCGGTGCTGTTTGGGGGTTTAACGCGAAATCTTTATATTTCTCACAGACTTATATAATCAGCCTAGAATCCATCCAATCACTGCGCGTTACTTCGTCTGTCTTTTTTGTGAACCTATGAGAAATATGTTTCTTGCATTATATGATTGTAACCTGCTGTTATGTACATCTTAGTCGAACTGCCACAGATTCATTCTACTTCGTTATCCTTTCCAAAATCTTGCATGGATTCATTTCACTCTGAGAACATTTTGGTAGAAGTCAACTCGAAGAAAACACCAGATCCTGGTTTCATGCATTTTTGGCCCCGATTATTAAAGTATCATAGAATCAAAGATGGTAGACCGTTGCCCTAACAATTCGAGGGCCACTGACTGGAGGTGTGCGGAGGTTCATCTTACTGTCTCACCTACAGTCACCCACAGTTACCTAATTAAACCAAAAGTATAAGCTGACGAGTCCTAGATGCGACGAAATGCACCACTGGGATTCCAATGCTAGTCACCATCCACCCCAGTTATCTTCTAAACCAAAAGTAGTTTGTCAGTCACTCTCACAGAATAATTTCAGATTCTTTCATTATCAGTGTACATGAAAAAGTTATTTCCATACATTTTTTTCATGAAGCTAATTTGTAATTACAAGTTCCATACAATCTCTCATTTTCACTGAAACATGCAACTAACGACATGTTTTCAAAATTTCTCCTTTGATAAAATTATTCAAAGGATTAAGACAATGCCGTGTTCAAATTCTCTGTCTATGATTCTATCCTTTTCCACTTCCTGTCACGAAATCTTTAGAAAAATTTGAAAAATTTTGCCTTGTGTCTACCATCCTCCTCCTCCTCCTGATAACCAATAGTCTAACTCCAATAAAATCAAGTTATCATTTAGATTCGTAGAATCGTTGCCAGCCAGTTGGAAGTGATCCAAGCAATGAAATTGTTATTCGGGATTATTTAAGGTCAAACTCACCAACGATGAAGACAGTTAGTTTCAGGTGACAAGAAGTTGAGTCAGTTCAAGCTTATGCTACCTCCTACTGGATGCTTTGAGGGTCTGGTGATGCACAGAATTGAATCCATTAATTCATTGTTTTGGAAAATCAAAAATTATTCGCATCCTAATATTGTAACAAAAGAAAACAAGGGTCAGGAAACAGATTGTCAATATGCTAACTGTATCCGCCTACGGAAAGTCTTCTGTGGTTGGTTGTTGAATCAGTCTTTGTCCTTATTTTTGTCATGATCAATATTGGGGACGTAAACATTGACGTAAATTACTGTCTAGCGATTTTGGCTGGCAGACAGATCTCACGACACATGTACCTCCGTCAAAAACTTTCGACTGAAGTTGGTTTGGTCTTCTTGGTTCTAGGGGTTTTGTTCGTTTGAAATCTTGGAGATCGCTGATGTTCACCTGTTTCTCTTCGTTTACCATTGCGAATGTGTCTGCGTAACCCCATCATTTCAAAGTGACCATATGTGATCCTTCCCACTTTGGAAACAGCTGGACTGTCCCTGTCGAACGTTCGTCGGTATTTTACCTCACACTTTCATATGCTGCTTTCTCCCAACCTCCGGTCAGCATCCCAAGTAACAGCCTCATCTCTGACATATCTTGAAGGCCACTGAACTGCGAAGAAGCCTCGAAGTGCTGCCCAAAGATCCATGTGTCTCCATGGAAAACTGCAGGGTATAGGCTTTTCATTTGTCGGTAGGCAGCAACATCAAATGTAACAACAGAAGACAAGGGCCAGGAAACAGATCGTTAATTTAGGAAATCAACACATATTTATAGATTTTCATGTACATTATTATGGATTATTGTTAGCAGAAAAACACAGTCTTCTGATTGGTGGTTGTTTCTCACTGAAAGTTAATCTTTTATCTCTTTGTGGCCGTTTCTTGAATGTCAGATTATCTATCTGCAAACTGTATCCGCCTACACAAAACCTGCTGTGACTCTTTGTTGAGTCAGTCTTTGTCCTTATTTTTCTCATGACCAATATTGGAGACGTAAACACTGACGTAAATTACTGTCCACTAATTTCGGTTAGCAGAGAGCTCTCACCACACTATTATTCCTTTGGGTTCCAAGTAAAACACAGGGTTTCAACAACACATCTCCACTTTCTTCTATCTTCTGCTGCCCTCTTCGTCAGCTGGCTAGCACCACGATTGGCGATAATCTCTCATCTCCTCCTTCTCACACGACTTCCTCCATATCACTCTCAGACCGACGACAACCCACTTGTCACTACGCATTCGGATTCTATTCGAGCAATGGCTTGCATTGAGCACAATGGCATTCAACGACCTCCTCACTGGCGTATTCTCGATCAATTCACCGGCATTTTCTCCTACATATTTGTTGAGCCATCCATCGGCTCTTACTTGTTGGTTTGTTCCTAGACAGCCAGAGTTTCTCGTCTGTCTGTCTGTTTTCGACATAGAACTTTGCACAAATGTGCGGCAGTTCAAGTCGCCACACTCCGTTTGGCACGCGAAGCAAGAGAAGAAAGTACAAGTTTCTTGTTGCTAATTATTTCTTGCTGGCCAGTCGACTGGCCATTTGATCTTCAGTATGGAACCAGCCAGCGAATAAGGGGGCAACTGTTGACGACAGTCTGCAGTAGTTTGTTGAAAATTCTTTTTTTTGGTGACACGCCCTCTCTTTTAAACATCGTGTTAATTATCTTTATTCTTTTTAGTGCTACCTATTACCTTCTTGTGTTATATTAGATACGAGTATAAAGCTTGGAAGTGAAGTCACTGATAGTAAATGTTTTTTTCTTTTCGCTGAACAAAAACAACTTGGTGTACGAGCTCACCTTGTAATCAGAAGGTTCTGGGTTCGAACCCTGGCGGTGGGGGAGTACTGCTGAAGAGTCCCAAAACTAGGACGAAGCAGGTATCCGGTACTCTCAGGTGGTTTTCCAATGGTTCTCCAACTGACATCAGCTCATGATGAAATCCTGTAACCAATCAAACAAAATCCCTACAAATCCAATACTTGAAAATTAATCTGATGCTCAGTAGCGATTTACCCTATTCAGGTAGATAGTTACCTGGGGTTCTGGTGAGAAGTCGTGATCAGTAGGATGCAGCAGGTCGGGTGTGAGGACAAATACTCACCGAAGACATTGGCTATATCGTGAATTGGCAGAAGTTAGAATTCATGGGCGATTGGATTGGGTCCCAATGGCTTAATGGTATATGAGCTCGCTGGCCCTGTGACCGGGAGGTCCTGGGTTCGAATCCCGGTCTGTGCGTACTGCTGAATAGTCCCAGACTAGAACAAAACAGCTGTCCAGTACTCCCAGCTGGTTTTCCAATGGGTTCTCTAACCAATGTCAGCTCATGATGAAATCCTGTAAACCAATCAAATCCCTACAAACCAACACTTGAATATCAAAAACAACTGTTTTTCTCTGTATACAATAATTGTATTTTCGCAGAATACAATATAATTTCACCAAGTTCACCTTATTTTTTTACTTAACAGGTACAGAAGATGAATCTGATTCCATACGTCACTACTTAATCGAAGGCTTACAGTCGACAACAGCTAGTGGACTGCATCATGCAGTCGGTGTATCTGGTGTAATCCTACCTCCATCGAATATTCCTATGGACCAATCATCTTTAAGTGTTACACATGAGCCGGTTCGACTTCGCGGTTCATCAAATGAACCAGTATTCACTAATCTAGTCAGCTTACTATATGAGCATATAATTCAACCGTTGGCTTTACCTTGCGTATTAAGACTGCCTTTCAAATCCCCTGCACCAATTAATAGTCTTCCTTCATTGATAACCTTGACAAAAAGCATGGATCGTATATCTCCGGTTCAAGTTGCCCCCAAGTATACATCACAAGTTGGAGCTTATCATCCTGGTATGTCTGTGTTATTATTAATTGATTTTAATCGTTTTTACTTTTTGAATTCTTTACTAATGGTCAAGTGTTTCAAATACTATGATCGGAATTCCACCTCAACTATTGAGACCCCAAGGTCGATGGATTTTATCTTCCATCATGCGAATATAAACTACCGTCTTGTGTTCCCTGATTTTATAATGGGTTTTTTTTCAACTATAGAATGAAGTGAAGCCTTAAGTTTGTGACAGTCGTTATAATCACCACCAGAAATTCTTTTCTAATAAATATCAGCGCTTGTCTAATCTCTTCTTAAGCGAGTCTCTTGAGAGGCCAGACACCACTCTTTCTGTTTCAAGAGTTTAAGAGTCACTTGGGCAACCAGTACGCCATAGAGATCTTTTGGATCTTGAACTCCTCAGCTGCTACATCCTCTGAGATACTCCGAAATGGTGGTAAGGAAAAGAGAAGATTGGCATGATCCATAATCAGCATTATAAAGAGAAGAGTTGATATATGTGTAAAAAACCTGGGCACTGTGGTAGTAAGTAATTCCATATTAGTTTGTTGATAGCAATTCCGCATATTTATGCTTGAAATGGCCTTGAGAGACACTAATTAATTTATTGATGAGTTAAAACAGTCAGCAACCAATAGGTTTCCAAGGTTATAAGCGTAGGTGGGTGGGTGGTTTGTGGAAAATACAAACAGCACTGTACTGTAAAGATAAATCCAGTATTTTTGGAAAAAATTAGGTCTTCATAACAGAAACATAACTTGAGACGAATGAAAACCCAACGAACCAACCCCTGGGAACTACCAAAATATTAAAATTTAAAAAGGGCAGGGTTTTCAACATACTTTGATTACATTGACAATGAGTGGTAAATGAAATCAGTCAGGACTCATGTGAGAAGTTAAATTTTCTATGTTAACACCGTCGACAATTTGAAAAGTAATTAGACGATTGTTCTCGGAAAAAGGAAATGGAGAAGTTACAGGATTTCATCATGAGCTGATGTCAGTTGGAGAACCATTGGAAAACCACCTGGGAGTACCGGATACCTGCTTCGTCCTAGTTTGGGAGTCTTCAGCAATACACGCCCTTCGGGGTTCGAACCCAGGACATTCTGGTTACAAGGCTAGCCAGCTTGTAGACCATTAAGCCACTGGGAGCCGATCCAGTGGCCAGACCATAAATTCCAACTTCTGCCAATTCACGACATAGCGCGAGTCCTAGCTATCCAGACCTTCCAGGTTTTCCAATGATTCTCTAACCAATGTTAGCTCATAATGAATTCCCTACAAACCAACACTTGAAAAGGAGAAGTGTTCAGAAGGTGGATATACACAATAATGGACCACTCAGTGTTTTTTTTCAATAACTCTAAGGATAAACTATCGCATTTTACCACTTCCGTGGATATTTAGCAATTCCATTGCTTCAGGAGGGGGGGGGTCCAGATACATAAATCGTTCGATGCATTCTTTATCTAAAACAGTCAAAGAACATTATCCTGCTTGACTGCAGAAAGTTAACAATGGCTCAATAAGAATTGTTATAATTCCATATGTATTCCATTAATCCTGACCACTCTGTGCTTAAGGAGAATGCATTCAAAGTCAAAATAAGCCTCCTGAAGATGGCTCTAAGGAGATATATATGTATAATTGGTCTTAGTATTCACGGTGCTTTATATCTCCTTATGAACTCTGTCTAGATAATTTTTTTCAAACAACAGCTGCTACTGATATTCACAAAAGAAAGCATTTTTTTCAAATTTTTGGTTTTGTTTTTAGCCCGAGAAAGTCCTCATGGTGGTGCACTACTCCGACATCCATCAGACCCATTACCTGCTGACTCAGGATCTTATGAAATGGAGTCATATTATCCACCACCGTCACACCACCATCATCATCAACAACAACAACAACCAGGTATGCCTCCATTACCGTCCAGTATGCACCATTCAGCTAGACAAGATGGTCTTCTAATTGCCCCACCGTCTGGGGGGAGTAGTTCAAAAGTACGACCAAGTAGATCTCCACCTGCTGTATATGAAGGGGAAATGGGACCGATTCTACCACCTGATACAGGAAAAAGTAAGTTGACTTTTTTTAAAGAACAAAAAAGGTTAATAGACTTCCTATGCGTGGGTGGTTCAGTGGTCGAAAACTAGCCAACCACGCACATAGTCAGGATTGAGATCCCCTGCCGACATACTCATAGACCTCCCTTAACCGGCAGTAAGCCTGATGAGGAAGGAAGATTGGGCGTGAGGCTAGTAACCACACTCCGTAAGAAATAAACACCACTATTTTGATTGGATACTAGTGACTAGTGTGACGTGTCTGGCTAGTCCTTTCTTTGGTGCAGACTGAATTCTGTCAGTCAGGTTTTGCAATGTGGACACCATGCCACCAGGTAGCTTGCCATCATGGTACACATAGATTTGATGATATTACATAGTTGGAGGTAATCGGCCACAAGAAGCCTTGCCTGACCTACGTTTCGTGCTAGTTGGCACTAACCACTAGTCAGCAAGGCGTATCTGCAACCATCTTGAAGGAACTCTTGTCCCTTCTGGGATTCGAACCCGTGTAACCACTGAGCTATTCAGTCTCGTTATTCACCTCCTATAGGACTCTATTGGATAATTTGATTGCCTCCAACCATTCAACATCAACAATTCAAAGTGCACCGTGATGGCGAGCTACCTAGGTGGCATGGTGGATACATTACAAACCTGGCTGACTGATAGAATTCAGTCTGCACCGAACAAAGGACTAGACACGTCGCACTAGTTACTTGTGTCCAATTAAAATACCTACTACAGTCCTACAGGAGGTCAATCACGAGCCCGAATAGCTGACTCAGTGGTAACCTCACTGACTGCAGCACTGGGTGACTTGGGGGGTTCTAGGTTGCACATACGCTTTGCTGACTGGCAAGTGTCAACTAGTACGAATCCTAGGTGTAGCCAAGGCTTCCTGTGGCCGATTGCCTCCAGCTATCTAAACACCATTACTGTTGTAACTTCAAAGCTCCAGCTTGCAGCGCTGTGCTTCTATCTACTAGTTTGACTGACCTATATAGTTGACCTCACTCACGGTCATTGCAAGGTATTTTGTAAATTATATTATTTTCAATTCATGGATAATCCCCATCCAGGCATTAATGAAAACAAAACACGTAGATCAGCGAAAAGTCTCTTTTCGGCGAATTCATTTTCTTAGCTGTACAATCGCAAATATATAAGCGAAATTTAATTAAATCACTTGCTACCCGCATCCGACGCATCTGTAGTCCCGACGTTCTGGAAACAGAATTAGATATTCTGAGAGAAATATTCATCCAAAATGGATACCCAATAAGATTTATCGACAAAAATATGAAACCAATAATTCGGAAAAACGAAACTTTAACTGCGCCTAAAAAGAAAATCTACATGAATTTGGATTTCAAGGGAGATTTAGCAAGCGATATTCTCAAGAGAAGGATCACATCATCTCTGAGAAGAACGTTCTTTGCAGCAACGCTACGAATAGTGTTCTCCAGTCGCCCACTGATCTGCAGAAGCCTCAAGGACAAGATCCCGCATCTGGCCACTTCTATGTGCATATACCAGTTCACCTGCTGCTGTGGAGCCAGGTACATCGGTCGTTCGACGCGCATCCTGTCCAAGAGAATTCAAGAACATTATCCAGCATGGTTGCGAAAAGGCAATACTGGTGCAATAAGGAGTGCGATAATTGAACACCTGGTCAACACTGATCATTGCATTTCAACGAACGCCTCCTTCAAAGTAATCTACAGAGTCAAGAATAACATATCAAAGGCAATACGGTTTCGTCTCCTTTGCATCGCTGAAGCTCTGGCCATTCACATGGAAAAACCGGAGCTGTGCATACAAAAGAAGATTACTCAACCACTTCTACTCTCATGGTAACAATGTTTTGATTTGTTTTGAGCTTTTATTTTTATTTTGATGACTTAATTTTGTTTCTTTGCCTGTTCCTTAATTGCTTATAATTCTTGTATTCACTTAAATCTCTTACATAGTTTCGTATTATCTACTTTGTTTCTATGTGCATCCTGAGTAAAACTCACTATTATTATTACAACTGTTTGTGACAACTCATCATTTTTTTACTACCCTAGTTTCATTAGCACTTAATTTTCTTGACCTGTATTACCAACCTTCACTTGTTTAGTTAAAAGTAACCTTAACCAATTGTAACTTTGTTTGACAAACTTAATGTACACATACATACAAAACAATGCATATATATTTGCGATTGTACAGCTAAGAAAATGAATTCGCCGAAAAGAGACTCTTCGCTGATCTACGTGTTTTGTTTTATATTATTTTGTCTAATTGGTTCATCCTACTGGTTCCTTTAACTTACAGAGCTTACCCTACCTGAGTGAGTTCTACATAGGGTCTCAGATGTTCCCTCCTTATATCGTAAAACTGTAGATGACTTATATTCTTTCTTATTTATGTTATCACTACTAGTTCCACAATTTTTTTTATTTTGCTTTTAGCCTTTTTCGATCTTCCTAATGAATTTTATAGGGTAGTTAGTTAATTAACACTAACCAGCTATTCTCCTTCTATCTGTTTTGTATTTCATCATTTAGGTCTTTTCTTGTGCCACTTAGCACTATTGCTCGGTGGTTTGTTAGACACTTAACAACTAAGCCTGCCTTCACAGACAGACAACTATGGATTAGGTGATGAATTAAAGTCTAAATATCTATTGGCAGAATGCGTGATGTGAATATGCCACGGGTTATCATAAATTACAAATTATTGTTATTAAAGTTAATTATTATTATTATTACCACTCTTGTTTACATAGCCTGTATAACTTTCTGACCATCTGTTTATGGAGATAAGAAAGAAAGAGTGTAGAGCTTTTATCAAAAAAGATAGTCAGTTGAAAGAAAATGTTTGCAGGCACATATGGAGTTATACATTATCATCATTGTTGTTGTTGTTCTAATCAGTGATGATATCGTTGAATTTTGAATAGATAATTGGAGGCAGTCTATGAGATCAAAGAGTGCGAGTACTCACTCACCTGTTCATGTAGATAAACATTTTCAACATAAAAGACCTCCTTATTTAAGTGTAAGTTTTCAGGAATTTAATCGAGTGGTTACAAGATTTCATCATGTTCTGAAATCGGTTAAAGAACCACCTATGTCAGCTCATATTTCTATTATTATTATTATTGAGCCCTTGGGTTCCTAGTGGAACATAGGGCTTCAACTGCACGTCTCCACTTGCTTCTGTCTTCCTTCTGCTGAACCTTTCATCTGCCTTCATCCATGTTAGTCCATACTCTTTCAACTCCTCTTCACACGATCTCCTCCATGTCATCCTGGGACGTCGCACACGCCGCTTCCCTTTCGGGTTCCACTTGAGGGCTTGATGCGCGATGTCACCCAGCGAGTGTCCGATCCATCTCCACTTTCTCCTGCATATTTGCTGTTGTTGGGCGATCGGCTGTCGTCTGTTGGCTTGTTCCCATAGTTTCCTGTTGGTGATTCTTTCCGGCCCGGCCATCTGATCGTCAGTATAGAGGGAAGACAGTTAGTTGATGATAATGGTCTGCAACAGGCTGTTGGAAATATTCTTTCTAACACCCCGCCAAGCTTCTGATCCGTATAGAAGAACTGACTGACTTGACATTGTTTGTATTGAAAATCCGACCGAATTTTGTTGTTGATGCAAGCTGAGTGACGAAGATTTCCAGATCAGATTGGTTTCATGTTGATGAGTATATTTCTCGCTCCCCCCTTCCCGATTCTCAGTTTGACTGCCTGTAGTTGAGACAATGCTCCCTAGATAAGTGAGTGAATGAAGTAACCTCTTTCAAATCCCTCCGTTGATGGTGATTGACTCTGGATGTTGCTGCTGTTGTTGTTGGTTGATTATTTTCATAACCTTCATCTTGTCTATGTTCACTTGGAGTCCTGTCTTCGCCGGCTGCTTCTTTGAACAGTTTGTCGGTCGGTTTTCGCCTGTAAGTCTTCGATTTTGTGTGACATCAGGCATAAATCATCCACGCGCGAAATCCAGGTCTTCTAAGTTCTTCATGTCGATCTACGATATCCCTGTCTTCTGGTTTCCCACTGTATGACGCATTATCCAGTCCACCACAATTAAGAATATCATTCATCGGTGATAATAAACACCCTTGTCTGACTCCTTTGTTTACTCCAAACGCCTTATATCAGCTCATGATGAATATTAGTCTGATGCTCACTAGCGACTGATTCTATTCATCGGGGTAGGTAGTCACCTGGGTTCTAATGAGAAGTCTTGACCAAGCGGGGTCCACCATCAGGTCGGTTAATGCCAGTCGCAGTATGTTGTGAATTGAAAGCAGTTGTAACTCATAGGCTGACCGTTATTTAGGGTCCCAGTGACCGGGTTGGTTTACGAGCTTGCTAGCCTTGTAGCCAAAAGGTCCTGGTGTTACACCATGCTGGTGGATGAGTACTGATGAAGAGTCTCGAAGTAGGCTGACGAAACAGTTGGCTGTCCGGTACTCTCAGGTGGTTTTCGGATGTCAACTCGTGATGATGAAATCCTATAAGACGACCTTGCATTGAACTACCTTTTATTTTTTCTGGTCAAGTCGAGTTAACTGTGTTTCGGTGTGAGAGAGGCAGGGAAGATAAAGCGGCAACTCTGTCTTACACAAATCCAATAGACAATCAGGGACTTCATGGAATAACTGCTCTTTTGTAGTTTGACTGCCCTCAGGAAATTTACTCAACTACCTCTCACCACAAATCAATGCTGCCTGCTATTGAGCCAAGCTCTTTGTGTGTGTCTGTGATGGTTAAGAATACTGCTTCGCTTCTAAGCCTGCATAGGTGGGGAGGAGTATATACCGTTGCATAACTCCAGTGGGTGGAGGTCCAGCTACCTTAACGGCACACTTTAGTTATTCTTATCTTTCGTCGAACTTTATCCCAAAATAGCTGGCATCTTTTCTGGTGCACAATATGATATAAACAAGTATTTCAAAGAAATTTTCGAGTCATCACAATCATTGAAACTTTTCACCAAACCTCTACGCTACTTGTCTACGCTATATGCAATTAGGCAAAAATTAGGCTAGCATTTTTTATCTGCTTTGCGATCTCTTTCATCAGTGCAGGGAACTTCGTAGGGTTGACTGAATCTCCAAATCACTTGATGCGATTGCAACTCACTTTGCGCTCTCGATATAGTCCCCATGTATATTCATCAAAAGTTACCTGTCCAAGTGATGTATCCAAACTAATCAATGGGAACCATACCTAAATGTAAAAGATCAAATTGAAAAAGCGCAAGTCTCATCCATAACAAGCATTGCCAATCATTGTGTGGTGAGAGCAGGCTGCTAGCCGATTGGTTGACACTAATCTACGTTAATGTCTAGGTCACTAATATGGGCCGTGAGAAAATATGAACAAGGCTGATTCAACAACCAATCACAGCAAAGTTAACGTGGCAAAATATGATTCGCAGATAGAGAACTCTATTTGTCAAGGAATCCCGAAACAACCAATCAGAAGCCTGCGTTTGCCTGCAACCAATCAGATGACTGCGCTTTTTCTACTTGCATAAGCTATAATAATGTATGTGAAATATATAAAAGTATTAAAAAAGTTTCGCCTTTTTTTTTAATTGTCAATTGTCAATTTTTCGAGAAATCTTGAATTTCATCAGCACCACTTTCTAGTGTTACTTTTCAAGTACTGGTTTTGTAGGGATTTTGTTTGACTGCATGGAGCCATAACCAGTAAAGTGCAGCAGAATGAAGATGAGGCAGTAATTCATCGAACAAGACGTTGCGAAATGGTCGCGCTATGTCGTGAATTGGCAGAAGGTGGAATTCATGGACTGGCCATTGGTTCGGGTCCCGGTGGCTTGATGGTCTACAAGCTCTCTAGCCTTGTAACCAGAATGTCCTGGGTTCGAACCCTGGCAGTGGGTGCGTACTGATGAAGAGTTGCGGACTGCATGGGACGAAACGGTGGACTCTCCAGTACTTCCAGGCGATTTTCCAAAGGTTCTCTGACCAATTTCAGATTATGATGAGATCCTGTAACCAATAAAAGAAAGAATTTTTGACAGTTCTTGACAGACTCTACTTAATTCAAATGTTATTCTGCAGGATTTCTCATCGTTTGTTTTAACATTCATTCGAATATAGGACTGTTAGTGGTATAATACAATTACGAGGCATTTCGCATTTCAGTAAAAGACACTCCATGAAACCTCGCTATCGATTCAAATTACTGCCCTCAGAAGAAGAAACACATTACCTATCTGATCAATTTATGTAGAAACAAATCACGAAGTGGTAAAAGTTAGAATTCATGAGCTGGTCAATGGATTGGGTCCCAGTGACAGGGACGGATTACTAGCTTGCTAGTCTTGTAACCAGAAGGTCCTGGGTTCGAACCCTGGCGGTTTGTATGTACTGATGAAGAGTCCCAAACTGGTGGGACGAAACAGCTAACTGTCCAGCACTGCCTGCTGGATTTCCAGTGGCTCTCTAACTAAGCTTAAAACTGGCCTATTTCTAATGTTTCTGTATATCTTTATAACTTTAAAGTTTTAGAATTTAATTGGTGGATGGTGTCTAGCAGTGGAATCCAGGATTTGCATTTAGTCCTACTTGGGACTCGTCACTGGATGTACCTGCATTTCCCAGTGACTGATGATGTTCCCACCGAGGCTCGAACCCTTTGCCAATAATTTCAAACGCTGAGCACTTCGGTCCAACTAATCGACGGGAAAATCTAAAATTAAATTAAATTTAAAGTTTTAGTTGTTATTTTTGAGTCAAACTAATGAGTATTACAATTATAATAACTCTGAAAAAATTACCAATCTTGAATGTATTTTAATTTTAATTTTTTGTGATCATATTTGCAAAACTTTTTCAACAATATGGTACATATTGTGTTTATTTTTTACAGCATTTACCTCCATCTACTTGGGAAGTATTGACACAGAAAATCTGACAGGATCATCAGCAATACGAAAAGCAGTCGATGTCCTACTGGAAAATGCAGCTCAGGTAAGCGAATTCATCACTGATAAGTTTGCCCCCAGAGGCCTTAGAATGAAATACTTGATGCATCATTTACAAAAAAAGTAAAATTCAATTTGGATTTTTCCCGTTGATTGATTGAACCAACATGTTCAGCTACTGTTGTTATATCAACTCTTAGCACGGATGCTTCGATGCTCATCTACATTTTGTAGTTTAGTCTATAAAATGCTATTAAAACATCATAATCTATGTGTGTTCCATACGGTTCATTGCATACGATACTATGGCGAGTAATCAAGGGATGGACTTTGTAAAGTTTTCATAAAAAAATCGCCTATCATGATGATAGATACTAACTGACACAAGTCAGATAATAACGTTGTATTGCTTAGTAACAGAAGGTGGAATTCACAGACTTTGGGATTCCCACCTATTGGTTTAATAATGATAAGATGTTCACTATGTTACATACACGACTTATTGATACGAGTAGTGCTTAACAGTCAAGCATGTAGTAATGCCATTTTACTTTGTTTATTAGATGTATCACACAGACACTGAAACAGTATTATTGTTTACTGCACGACAAAGTTTAGAACACAATCAATTACTGTTCATAATTATATCACCAATTACAATCACACGACTTCGAAACACATGAGTCTCATAGTTTTCTTTATTCTTTCCTATTCATCATCATCGTCGAAAGCTTCTGTAATCAATCCCTCCCTCGGCCCTGTGATATTAGATTTTAAAACTGTCATCTTATCCTATTCATCCTATTGTATGGTTGTGTGTGACTGCATGCAGTGAGTGCTATAGCTGAACTATTCTCTATATTTCTTATCTTATTGTGGTCAACCAAACTAGATTTAGCTGTTAGGTTTTATGATCGGCTAGTCTAACTGACTGCACCTGTTCTACTACTCTGACCTATGTATTTGACCCGGAGAATCATACCACCAAGAGGGTATTAGATAAACTAAAAAACCTAGCAAAATCTAGATTGGCTAACCCAAATAAGATAAAAAAAATCTGGAGAATAGTTAAGCCGTAAACAGCACTCACTACATGCAATAACACACAACCATACAATATGATGGGATAAGATGACAGTTTTAAAATCTAATGTCACAAGGTGAATAGAGGGAGAGATTTATAACGGAAGATTTGTTTATCGAATCAACTGCGAATCAACACATGTAATAGGTATGATTCAACGCCTGTCCAGCCAGATATCTGGAAAATTCTACTAAAACCCCTCAACGACAAATAGGAGAGGACAAAGAAAACTACAAAACTCAAGTTTCGAAATCGTGTGATTATAATTGGGGATATGATTATGAACAGTAATAGACCGTGTTCGAGACTGTGTTATCTAGTAAATAATACTGCTTCAGTGTCTGTGTGATATATCTAGTACACAAACTAATATGGAATTACTTACAACCACAGTGCCCAAGTTTTACACATATATTAAGAATGTAGTAGTCCAAATGCCAAGCAGACGTTTCTCTCGTTCAGTGTCAAGCACGTTCACGGTGTATCCAACGGGACAACTCAAATCAATCAACTGAATTAGTTCAAACCATCTGAATTATGGTGGGACAAGCTCTGTAGGCTAAAGGGCTCTGTGGCTTGACCCACAATTAGGAATATCATGGGTAATAAAAGTCAGACAGCCTTCTCTTACTACTGTTTCCGCCTCAAACGCTTCGCTGAGTTTTCCATTGTGGATCATCTGATACGTGACAGGCATTGTTATATAGCCAGCTGCTGAATGAGGTTGATAAAGACATTGGGTGTCTCACACTGTAGTGTTGAAGCAGTCCTACAATCCCCACAAAAAGCTTAAAGTATGAACATCAACTACCCATAAACCCCAGACAATAAAACTGTAAAATCAAGTGACTCCTCGTTATCCATTATCGTTAATTGAATATCAACTGAAATGTATCACTGGCTCGAAGCCAAGTTTTCTTTTTTTTTAACAGATTTAACTAAACTACTGATAATTTATATGAGTAGTCAACAATTTTACTTTTAACTTTTGAAAGTCATTTCTCACAACATCATCGAAATTCCTCACACTGATATTATCAACAATTTATGCCTAAAAGGAAATCAAAAGCCAATTAAAATTTTAAAAAATCGGGTACAACAGGTCAGATGTGAGGACAAATACTCGAAAGCGATGACATTCGCTAGTGCTAAACGCACCATATCATGGATTGGCAGAAGTTCATGGGCTGGCCATTGGATCGAGTCCCAGTGGCCTAATGGTCTACGAGCCAGTTCGCCTCATAACCAGAAGTTCCTGGGTTCGACCACTGGTGGTGGGTGAATACTGATGTGGAGTCCGAAACTAGTGGGACAGTACAGCATGATTAAATAAACAAATGTTCAGGTGGAAGTAATCGATAAAGGCTAGTAAAAACAAATGAACCGATTAGGTAATGCTAGATTGTAAGGGAAGTAAATGACACTTTTTTTAATGAAGATGTGATAAGATTAAGGGATGATAAGAAAGCGGGTTGAAAATTTAAGTAAGGGGTGGTGTAGAAGTCATTAGTTGGTTATGTCTTAATAGGCCGACAAAGGAGGGATGATGGCTGTACGAACTTCTTTTGAATGCATAGTTCAGGTTTAATAGTTCGAATGTCTATCACCTCAGCTGTGTGCGTGCAGTAAATGAATACGAAGTCTATTTGAAAGATTTGGTGGGATACAATGAATTATTTTGCAAGCTCTCGTTTTCTCCACTACATGGCCACTATCAATTAAATGTGGCAAAATTGAACAACGGTTTGTTTTTGTCCATCCTTTGCCAAGCCACCACGATCGGAGATGTTGACTAACACGTTAGCTAAGCTGTCTAGTAGTACGCTCAACATAACTGTCACCGCAGGTGCGGTTGAATTGATAAATGCACATAGATGTGGCAAAACTATCAAGCTTATCCTTCATTTGCGTCCCGATCATTCGTCGGCTAGAGAATGACAAACACAGGTATATTGCGTAAAACTTTCTCACTTGATAACTTAATAAATAGAGGTTTTTCACGTGCGGTCACAGTCTCGGGTTTTTTTCTCTCTCTCTCATGTTTTCATGTATTTCTTTATGAAACTACTCGGATAGCCAGCCCATCTCCGTCAAGGAATCGTGAACATATTCAGATTCCTTTTGTGAGAGGTCATCCGTACATATCTTTATTGCTCTGCTCGCGAGACATTTAACAACATCTCTTTCATATTTAATGGGCACGTCACTAAGGAGGGAAGTGTGTGTGTATTGCCCTGTGAATGTGCTTTTTCTATACACACGCTTCTCCCATGTGACCCATCTTCTCGCCTACTTAGCAAGACATCCCGAAAATGCAGTCTATTCTCCTCCTCCTGCCCCTCTTCACAAGTAAAGGTAAGCGAAGTGGGTGGATATTGTTGAATTTCACCAACAATTCGTGCATGTTACACATTCCCATCAGGTAAGATAAATGTATCATCGAGATATCGGTAATACATATCAAACTCCTTGATGATTTCCTTGAATTTCCCGTTTTCAAGTTTTGCAAAAAAGAAGTCAGCAAAAATTATTGGGCCCAATCGTGAACCCATAGGCTATTCCATCTACTTTCCGATAGTATGAATTATTGAAGACAAAGTGAACATTCATTGTGCATTTGAGAAGTAATTCTTTGTGGCTACACAATTCAGAATTGTCAGTATACCCCAACCCACACCCCCACAGTGGGTATAGCAAGCTGATTGATATATGCTGTCAATTTCTGGACCATAGGTGCAAGGTTTTGTATATATATTTACTCACATACACACATAGATGTATTTAGTATGTGAACATATTTACTGTACTAATTTACTGACTAATCATGTGAAATATGTATATGTATGTATATAAAGCAATCAGTCATCTGACATGTTTTTATGTTAGAAATTAAGTATGCGTGATTAACTACTGTCCTCATTACTACTGTAATAAACCAGTGGTAAATCTGTCACAGTTGGATTCCATTCATCTTGAAAACACATCACATTCACGTGTGTGTGTGTGTGTGTTTTTTGCTAGTTACACTCATAAGAATTTCACAGAACAATCTGCATTTAATAATTGAAGCTTTATCAAAGCTTATTGATTTTAATTAACACTATGTAAAAGAATATTATGCCACAAATCTACTAAATTAAATTATTTTATCTATTTTATAATTTTGATTCACTGTTTACCCCAAACCCTCCTGAACTCTCCATCATAATATGTATAAATTAACTATGTTGTTCTACCCTGTATTTCGTCTCTATTCCATCCTTGTTTCCAAGAGAAATCTGAACTCTACCACCCCACTCCTTGTCTAATTACTATAAAAAATAGTTACTCTTTTTTAACACATTGAATAATTGGTTACAGGATTTCACCATGAGCTGACATCAGTTAGAGAACCATTGAAAAACCTGGGAGTGCTGAACGACTGTTTCGTCCTAGTTCAGGACTCTTCGTCAGTACGCACCCACCACAGGGGTTCGAACCCAGGACCTTCTGGTTACAAGGCTGGCGAACTCGTATACCATTAACCCACCGGGACCCGATTCAATGAACAATCCATGAATTTTAACTTCTGCCAATTCACGACAAAGCGCGACCCCTAGCCAATGTCTTCTGTGGCGAGTATTTGTCCACACACCCAACCTGCTGCACCCTACTGGTCACGACTTCTCACTAGAACCAGTTCAGGTAACTACCTACCTGAATAGGGCAAGTCGCTAGTTAGTAGAAAGTCCTGGGTTTGAACCCCAGTGGATGCGTACTGCTGAAGAGTCTCAAACTAGGCTGACGAAACAGCTGTCCAGTACTCCCAGATGGTTTTCCAATGGGTTCTCTAACCAATGTCAGCTCATGATGAAATCCTGTAACCAATCAACCAAATCCCTACAAACCAACACTTAAACATTAAATAATTGTATACTTACATCATCCTTGAAATTGTGTTACCCATACTGTATGCCTCCTATAAATTGAAATCATTGTAAAACGTATGTTCAGAAAATTTGTGACCTCTAATTAATTTTGTTCTGGATGTACGCAGTGATTAGAGAGAGAGAGAGAGAGAATCGACGCGATGAAACAATCTCTCATTATCCTCCTTGCAATATGTATGTTCATTCTTTCTTTACTGAAACTAAATACAGGGAACAGGATGTATGAAATAATTTTTGATTTGTCTTTTCTGGTGATATTGCGATCAAACATTCGTGGATCTATTAACCGTCAAAACGACTTGACTTGTTCACTTTACCTGCTACCTGTGTTAACTTTCAGTGTCACTGAATTCTATCCCAAGTGACTGATGGAACCCTGAACCTGAAGATTCAGGGTTCGATATCTGGTTGGATCATGGGTCTCCAACGCTGCAGAAGAATCAGAGACTAGGATGAAATAGGCTAGCCGTCCAGTGCACTCCACCCCCACCCCGCTGGTTTTCAATGATCTCTCTAAATGATCTACACAGAAGTTGATCCAAATTCTTTAATTAAAAAAACTTTGAATGTATTTAAACATAATGCTCGACGAGGCAATCCATATTTGATACCTTTATTTTCGATCAAATGTCCACATATATATATAATAAAGCAAGAACTACAGTTCTTGCAGAATAAAATAGTACCATCAGTGTTTATTTCGTTGCCTTCTCGTCAGCTCAGCTGCTTAAAAGACAAAGACATTATTAAATATATCTACAGAAACAATTTAAACATACTTGCACAGACAGTTCATTTTAAACAAAAATCAATGGATCAGTATACGCATTCACTAATAATATATATATATATATATATATATATGTAATATTAAATACTATTTCGAACAATAATAATCATACACAATGGAAACTTTCCAGCATTTCGCATTTAGATGAAAGAGAGAGGTGAAAATATCCAGTTACCAGGCAGTAGCGCAAAGAAAGTCTTGATAACGGCTTCTTTCTTGACGCATAAATCAGGTTTCAGGCGTTTGATGAAAGTGGCTCTCAGCAAACTTGAGGAGAATTGAGCTTTTTTGCCTATTGATAATTTTGAACGACTTTTCGACGTCCACCTTATGACCGACCCGTGTCAAGGAGATGCCTGAGGATGGCACTGTTTAAAACATTTGTTCCCTTTAGACATAAGCTTTTTGGTATATATTCAGAATATCGTAGATATGCCCTTCTTTCTATCCTTTCAATGTAACTGCTCTAGCAGTTATTCTGCTAAAACTGTAGTTCTTGCTTTGTTCAAATTCATTAAGGGGAATAAATGTATGAAATATTATTATTATTATTATATCCTTTAGTTCCTAGAGGAACATAGGGCTTCAGCTGCGCACCTCCATTGCCTTCGGTTTTCTGACAACTTTTTCACCCTGCTCCAGGTATGTCCACATGCTTTCATCTCCTCCTCGCATGACCTCCTCCAAGTCACACTTGGACGACCAACTCGCCGCCTCCCTTTCGGGTTCCACTCGAGCAATGGCTTGTCTAGTGATGTCACTTGATGGTTTCCTCAGCGTATGGCCAATCCATCTTCATTTCTTTCTGCCTATTTGTTTCACAATCGGTTCCTGATTGGTTCGCTCCCAGAGATCCCTGTTGCTGATCTTTTCTGGCCATCTGATCTTGAGTATTGAGCGGAGACAGCTGTTAATGAAGGTTTGAAGTTTGTTTGAGATGCTCTTTATGACTCGCCAAGTCTCTGATCCGTATAGTCAGTAGCACTGACTTTACATTGGAGTTGAAAATCCGGATCTTATTTTTGATGCTGAGTGCTGTTGAAATATATAGAATAGATTGATTTCATCAAAGACTTTAAACACTCTGTTATTGCTGTTTTTATTATTATTATTATTATTGCTCCCAACCAGGTCAAGCAAACGGAAGTAACCATTCGTGTTTCCCACGAAGGATTAACAGTTACAGACAATTGGAGAAAATTATTTTTTCGTCGCAACTATCCATTTCATTCAGTTTCATTTTGTGCTATTGATCCATGTCAAAGATGGTAAGTATGGCTATATTGTATAACACACAGTGTATTGATTGATTCTACAGTTTTTTTTTTTGCCAGTCACTGATGAGGTATGATCAGGATGTGAATAAGAACTGGATGCGTTGTGGACCAACCAAGTTAAAATATTACAGCTTAGGACTGTCAACAATCTGATGACTTTGAACTCATGCTTTTCATTGGATAATGAGACTTGTCATTATTGTAGGCGTTAGTATGAACGCCATTCACCAATTAAGGAGCAAATTTTACGCAGACACTATGTTTTTAAGTACTGTTTGAACAATAAATTGATATTGTAACGTCGCAAATGTTCTTACAGTAGTTCCATGTACCTGTAGCGGTGTTCAGAAGCTGGTAATGCACAAGTATTTAGGTGTACACAGTGTAAGAGACGAATGAGTGTTCGTACTGGAAAGTTATACACTCAGCTGATTGTTTTCTAGTAACTTTCTCTGCTGAATCGAAACTACCTTTGACACGAATATACTGCGTATGCGTGTGGAGACAGAAAACACCTAGATGTCTACTGTGTAATGGTTCCCAGTATTCCGTAGATATAGCGTCCTAGAAGTTGAGCAGTTGTTACCCAGCTGTTAGGAGGAATTGGTGTAACTGTCCATATTGATGAAACAGTCCACCGTCGCCCTAGAACTAACAACATTTGCGTACTGAATATTTGTGACACAGAACTTCAGAAGGGGACAGTGCGAGTGATTTCAGACAGGAGTGCCATCATCCTTTTACCCATCACTCAATGCTGGTTGGTCATCACTGGCACTACTGTTCTTACTTTTCTCATGACCAATATTGGGGGCGTAAACACTGACGTAAATTACTATCTACTGATATTGGCTAGCAGCCAGTTCTCACCAAAATACTATGCGTGAAAATTCCTCGGGTTTACTGTTTCTCTCATCCATTAGTAATACTTGATGCCAATAATGACTGACACTCAGTGCTTGAGTGCTTATTTGCTGCACAATTTATAGATTTATTGAAGGGTTAAACTGTCTGAATTCCAGTGCATTCTGGTTTTTATTCCTTGTCACATGTCGAATACCATCAACTAATCACAATTATGACAAAGTGGATACTCATGCATGCATGCATGCATGCATACATACATACACACACGAACACACATATAGAAGTAGAACCACAGAATGCAGACTTTTATTTCAGCCGTCACCTCAATCCCCTTTCTCCTTTCTCTGTCAACATCTATTCTCACAGTCGTTAGAGTATCAAAACTGTCTAATTTACACCTTGTCAATCAAGAGTGGTGGCATATGTGTCTTTATGTGTGCGTGTGTGCGTGAAATCTGTTCATCTCTCTACATGTTAACTCATCTTATGTGATGACCATATTCCAATATATATATATATATATATATATATATATATATATATATATATATATATGAAACCCAACATATGGATGGAGTACTATTATTATTATATTATTATCATCATTACCTTTAATTCCCTTTTGGGTTCCACTTGAGCGATGGCTTGTCTAGTGATGTCACTTTATGGTTTCCTCATACTATGACCAATCCATCTCCACTTCTTCCTGCTTATTTGTTGTACAATTGGTTCCATTTTGAGTTGGTTCGCTCCCGGAAATCCACTTGCCGACACATTATGGCCGGCCATCTGATCTTGAGTAGTGTTGAGAGAAGACAGCTGTTAATGAAGGTCTGTAGTTCGAAGTTTGAGGTGCTCTTCATGACGCGGTGCCAAGTCTCTGATCCGTATAGTGACTAGCACTGACTTCACAATGGAGTTGAAAATCCGGATCTTATTTTCATTTTCATGCTGAGTAGTGCTGTTGACCTCCACAAAGACTTGAGAATAATGGAAGCTTGTCTCGCTTTCCTGATCCTCGCACTTTGATATCTTCGTCAGTTCTGTCCGTCTGTAGCTGAAACGGTGCTTTCCAGGTCAGTAGGTAGGTAGGTAAAGGAAGTTGTTTCTTTTAAGGTTCCTCCCATTTCTGCTGGCTGATTGTTGTCTGTTGTTGTTGCTGTTGGTGTTGGCCATAAATCCTCATCACTTACCTCTGTTTTATCTATGTTTACCTGAAGTCCTATCTTTGATGCTTCTTGTGCCAACTAGTTGCTTTTCACTTGCATATCTTCCAGTTTGTGGGAAATCAGATATACATCATCGACGATATCCAGATCCTCCAGGTTTTTTGTGTGGATGAAGTACTAACGAAAACTAACATTGAAGAAACTTTTCACACACCCACCAAAAAACACACATACATGTATTATATTGTTAACCATACACAAGATTCCATCAGGATATCCCCGTTTCATCTTGTTTTCCGTGACACCCAACAAACTCTCGTTTCCCGTTTATGTGATTTCATCAATGTCACACTTGGATGGTGTACCCCAAATATTCATTAACCATATTCACTAGCTGTACGACAACAGCACATGTCAAGTGATCCACAATGGAAAACTCAGCGGGGCGTTTGGAGTAAACACAGGAAGCCATTGTGATATTCCTAATTGTGGTGGACTGGATTATGCGTCAGACAGTGGGAAACGAGAAGACAGGGATATCCTGGACCGATGTGAAGAACCTAGAAGACCTGGATTTAGCGCGTGGATTATTTATGTTTGATGTCAAACAAAATCAAAGACTTACAAACGAAGACCGACAAACTGCTCAGAGAAGCAGCCGGCGAAGACAGGACTCCAGGTGAACATAGACAAGCCGGAGGTTATGAAAATAAACAACCAAACAACAACAGCACCAACCAGCGCCAATCACCATCAACAGGAGGGATTTGAAAGAGGTTACTTCATTCACTCACTTATCTAGGCAGCATTGTCTCAACTACAGGAGGAGGAACGGACGAGGATGTCGAATCGAGCGAGGATCGGGAAGGCGAGAAACACATTCACTCATCAACATGAAACCAATCTGATCTGGAAATCTTCGTCACTCAACTCAGCATCAACAACAAAATTCGGTCGGATTTTCAATACAAACAACGTCAAGTCAGTCAGTTCTTCTATACGGATCAGAAAATTGGCGGCGGGTCACAAAGAATATTTCCAACAGCCTGTTGTAGACATTACCTTTATCAACAACTGTCTTCGCCCTATACTGAAGATCAGATGGCCAGGCCGGAAAGAATCACCAACAAGGAGCTATGGGAAGGAACAAACAAAAGAAGAACCAATCGCCAGTCAACGAATATGCAGGAGAAAGTGGAGATGGATTGGACACTCGCTGAGGAGGCCGCTCGCTGAGTGACATCGCTCGTGCGTCAGGCCATTGCTCGAGTGGAACCAGACCGAAAAGGAAGCGACGAGTGAGACGTCAGTGCGAGGGTGACATGGGAGAGATCGTGTGAAGAGGAGTTGAAACAGTATGGACGGACTAACATGGATGCAGGTGAAAAGTACAGTAGAAGACAGAAGCAAGTGGAGACGTGCATTTGAAGCCCTATGTTACACTAGGAACCCAAGGGAACAATTATGATAATAATACACTTGGAATCACTCTTAACTAGTCATCTCACTGGAGGGTCTCGCCCCTGATATCACCCAGTGGTCTTGTCAATGTCTGTATGCCCTATAACATCTGCATTTCCCCATGCATTTTCTCGATTTGTCTGTTCCTAGAATTCCTCGTTGTTAATCCTTTCTCGCTTGCTGTCTGGTCTTCAATTCCCAAGACATCACAAGCAGTCTTCAGTGAATCTGTTGGGCATGCTTCTGGTAACGTGTTCCACAAATCTCTAATCTGTAAAGAAGTAATGACGTGACATTAGCACTGGAACTCAGGATCTTGTTCCTTATGCTTTACTGTATGTGTGTGTGTGCGCGCGCGCAGTAGACTTCCATAACTACTTCAGAGTCAAGAATAGTCTATCTTGCTATCTCCCTGTGTATGTATATTAAATCAATAATATTGTTATTTTATCCATTTTCTTTACATTCTAGCTGGGAATCACCAGAACTTAGATCAATGGGTTTCAAATCTTCACTGTAAGTTTCAGACTGATAACAAATAAAAATTGTTTCTATCTTTCAGTAATACAATCAACCCACCCCGGCCTTCATGTGTCTCACTGAAAACGTCTTGAGTTAAGGAGTATATTATGAGTACCTGATATGACCCTTTTAATACACTTGGTAGTTTTCGCTAACGAAATTCCTACTTAGTCGATTCCGAGTCTAATACATAAATATATATATATATATATATATAAATGGCGTTGAAAGATACTAATTACACACTAGCAGGTTAAAACAGTCAACAGCCAATAGGGTTCCAAGGTCATAAGTGTGGGGGTGGTGGAAGAATTCAAACAGTACTGTAGAGATGAATGTAGTATTTTAGAAAAAAAATCAGGTCTATATAACGTTACCCTCAGCAATTTTATATTTTTTGGCACTTATATAGTGATTACTTGATATTCGCCAGTGTGCAATCAAGGTCTGACGACACTGGCAGTAGGATGTAATCTTCAGGCTAACTATATTGGCATCGGTACTTAGAAGTCGATTAGTCCGGATTTCTCTTCACTGGTAAAATTTCACACTTGTTTACAGTCGTCAGAAATCCGTGTGTCTGTGTGTGTGTGTGTGGATGTTTTCGGGAAAAAACCTTGAGGAAGCTCATACTCCTGCTAAAATCTTTGTTGAATATATTGCATATTTTCGAAGGCAGTCAGATGCGTAGTTGATTTTGTTCCTGTAAAACTTGGTAAAACTGTGAAGAGTGCTACTGATAAAACTTATCAGTAGTATGCATATAAAGAGACTTTCTTCGGTATAAAACCATCAAATATCAAGGAGACATATTCGATATTATTAGAGAAGGCAAATGGTTTGGCGTTGTGGAGATTTACATGGGAGACGACATGAAAGGAACACCTAGAAACATAATATAAAAGCCAGAAGTAGCACAACACAAAGGTGTAGCCTGTTGTATTGGGCACTGTGGTAGTAAATAATTCCACATTAGTTTGTTTATTAGGTGTGTCACACAGTGAAACAGTATTATTATTTACTGGATGACGTTTCGAACAAAATTTAGGATTAGTGAAATGTTTAAGTGACATAGCACAAAAAACTAAGTAGTACCAAGGAAAATCTAAGACAGGAAGTGATACATATAAGAGAAGCCTTGAAACTTAATAATTACCTTGATAAATTACTCAGGAAATATGTAAGGAAATGTAAAAATAAAATAAATAATGATAGTAGCGATAGTAATAATAATAACAATAATAATATTAATGACAACACCAACAATAAGGAATCTAAATCATCAGTAGTACTTCCTCCCATACAAGGAAGGAACCTCGGAAACCACCTCACGCAGAATTCTTAACAAGGCAGTCAGGAATAAAAGTGGTTGGCATTCAAACCAACCACAAAGTCAATTAGAAACAAGCTTTGTCGATGATAGGATCAATCCTGTGGAGTTTTTAAAACCAAACAATTCAGTTTATCTGATACCCTGCCAGCAATGATTGTCAGGTCAAATACATAGGTCAAACTAGTAGAACAAGTGCAGTCAGTCAGAGTAGCCGAACGTAGAAGCCTAGCAAACTCTAGATTGGTTGACCCGAATAAGACAAGAAATCTAGAGAACAGTTCAGCTATAGCACTCACTGCATGCAGTCACACACAACCATACAATAGGATGGGATAAAATGGCAGTTTTAAAATTTAATGTGACAGGGTGAATGGAGGGACAGATTGATAACAGCAGCTTTGTTTATCGAATAAACTGGCTGAGAATACATGTAATAGGAATGATTCAACACTTGTCCTCTCAGATATCTGGAAAATTCTGCATTCACGCCTACGATGACAAATAGGAGAAGACAAAGAAAACTATAGAACATAAGTTTCAAAGTCGTGTGATTAGAACTGATATGATTATGAACAATAAATTTTGTTCGAAACTGTGTCATCCAGTAAATAATACTGTTTAACTGTGCGATACAACAGGTAAACAAACTAATATGGAAATAGTCGATCGTATTCTACCGTTTCAGTATTGTCAAATTTATTAATGGATATTCTAGCAATGTAACTGCTGTCCTACCCACTAGACTCTATTTTAACTGAGTGTTTAATGTGTTTGCTAATTACCACGAAATGGTACAATGTTTATTGTCGTGGCAGAAAACTACCTCATGGATTAAGTGTTACGCTGTAGTGATTTGATGAATTGCAGAGGGAGGTTTCATTATAGAACCATTGAAAATCAATAAAAAATACTGGATAAATATTTCGTCCTAATCTGGGGATCTTCATCGGCCTATACCCGCAAACTCACAGGAGAAGTGAATCTCCAGCTTTCAAATGATAAGGCGAACTGATTAACGAACGATTCAGTTACTGGACATGAATTCGATGACACCTACACCTTAACTCCTGTCAATTAGTAGTAACTAATGCTGTAGGCGTGTTTTTGTGGACAGACCTAACTTGTTGAACCCTATTCGGTCTATCTAACCATCCAGGAGGAATGTTGTAGAGTCAGTCAGTGGCTCAATGTTATATTGCTCACAAACCAAGTATGAGGTCCCGGGTTGCATTCTCTATCTATCGAACTCACTTCTATACTCCACCTAGCCGAAAGTAAGGCCGACAGAAGGGATAGGGTTGGACGCGAGTGTTACAACTCCACGCAGTGGGAATGAACAACAACACTGATACTGTATCATCAAAGATTAAGCTTAAAGCCTTATGTTCCCGTTTGCAAAGGAACGGAAATAATATCCCATAATAAGGGGGGTGAATTATCGAATGTTGTGCTGTGTCTGGAGATTCGAGTCAATGATAGGTGACTGAAGCTAATGTGTAGGAGAAGCCTTGTACAGAGGTTTCGTATCCAAAGTGGTACTCATCAACAGGTGATATTTGCATTCCTGAAGGAAATGATGAGTTTATGAGATTCCAGATGACATCATCCAGTGCTTTAGTCAAACACTATATCGGTGGTGATCCCTTTCAGAAGTATGCACCCATGACCCCAGCAGGGTTCCTAGGGTACCGAGGACATTTAGGTTACAATACAAGATCGTTGAGTATTTAGTCACTAGGAGAGGAATCCAATGGTGCATAAATTATGACTTCTGCCAATTCACAACACATATTGCGTCATCACTAGCCAATGTGATCGGCGAGTGTTGGTTAGATAACAGACAACTGGTTGTCTAGTGCTGTGAAGAGTCCCAAACTAGAACAAAACAGCTCGAGCTATCCAGTCCACCTTGCTCATTTTTTCAATGGTTCTCTAACTGATGTTATTCCGCGGTTAAACTTGACACCTACCAATCGTATCGCAGAAAATTAGTTCTTACCTTAAAAATATTTCGGCTTGACATCATTTTTTTGTTCTTTTTTGTTTTATTTTATTATTTAGCATCTTCGGTTTCGTTGCTAGGAAACAGAATACACGTGAGAATATGTGTCATGTACTGTGTGATACACCAGAGTATAATGCAAACATTATTACAGATTATATTATGCATAGATTAAATGAATATTAACGGGGTTTTTTTTCTGTGCAATCTCAATAGTGACGTTATGTTTTAACCAACCGTCACGATAAATATGCTTCCTGTTGCTCGACGTCTATCTAGAACTCCTCAAATAAAGCATTCCTTGCATATACACTGTCTTCGATAGTTATAATAATGGTATGTGAAAGCTATCCACATAAATCTATCTAACATGTACACAATAATCGTCAGATGTTTTGTTTAAGTATTAACAAGAGAACCAATCATCTCATCAGTAGAACACAGCATTACAATTCATCGCTATTCAACAGTTATATACAACACAAAGAAGGAGTTTATTTTCTGTACAACCACCTTTTACAGTCAGTCTTCCAGTGTTCCAACTCTTTTATCGGCAACAAAAACAATTATTTGTAAGAAAATGAATCAAGTTATAACACTCATCAGTCTCCTTCTCCGTGTCTATCTTATAAATATGATATCTCTAGTATATTATGATTAATATACACGGTAACTAATTAACCAATTAATTAATTAATTAACTAATTAATAGGACCAATATTCAAATTTTTTGTTCAATATTCAATACATGAGCATATTATATTTACGTGTTCATAATTGAACAACTAACTAATGACGTTTTGCATTTATTTATGAACTCTGTATATTATTACTTAATTTATATACATCGATCGATAGATTGCCAGATAGATAAATAGATAGATAGACAGACACACAGATACACGTTATACATGTCTGTATATTTATCGATCAGGCATATTTAAATGGACCAAATTTTGTATAAATTTTCTTTTAATTGGCTAGTTAGATAGTTAACTGTCTGCCTGACTGACTGACTAATTGGTTGATAAACTGAAACATTATCGCCAAATTATTATTATTGTTACTATTTAACTTCAACGTTCAACAGACAAATGGCACGGGAATGTGTGTAGGTGGATTTGTAAAGTACAGCGATAATCCAGAATGTTTTCAGGTTGCACGGTGTAGAAACAACATACAGAATACCGCAGAGAGCAAGAGAGAGAGAGAGAGAAATATCCTCCTCCACCTTCTTTGGCCTTTATTTACTTCTTCTTATACAACATATGCTCTCCTTTACTTCTGTGATAAATAATGCACTTTTAAAAACTATTATTTTAATTATTAGTAATAATAATTATTATTATTATCAGTAAGCATGTGTACACACATCTACACACACACACGCACACACACACACACGCTATACATACACACGAGTCTCTGAAAGTATACAAGTTCGCCTTGTATTGATTGATGTGTAAGAGAGAGAGAGAGAGAGAGAGAGAGCGGTAAATATAAAATTCTCATCTACAAACACTGTAATAATGTTTTAGTATTTATTAAAACTGTATAATATTCAATTGTTTCAAATTATTTATAAACATATATACATACATATATCATGTACTTTAATTTATATTAATCTGAAAGCCAAAAGATCAAAATGACGTTTCATTTGTTTAAAATTCATTAACTCACTTTCGAGTATAGATAAGCATTGGTTCAATATCTGGTATCGTAAATATATTTATCCAGTACATGTGTGTATGTATGTATGTATGTATGGTATGATGAGTAATAAATATATAATGTGAGCAGACAGAAACAAAACCACCATAAACGATCTAATTAATCTACAGAATATTAATACTTCCAAATTAATAATGATAATAATAATACATAAGACTGATGATTCATTTCTTAGATTGTATATATATTGATTTTCCCACATTTAAACTACACTCACGCATAGATATACAGACACGCACACAAATATAGACATATAGACATAGACTCATGCATATTTACACACATGCGCATTAATTCTGCATGTTCTCCAGCTATTTCACAAACCTATTGGACCAAGTTGACATCTAGTCGTAATATTCCCAAGACGTTTGTTTGACGTCTAAGAAGTAAATAAGAGTTTCTCTCTTTTGACATATATAAATCAATACGATATTGATTTTGTTCAGTTATCTGTTTTATTATACTTTTCTATTCACATAAAAGTTAATAATGGGATACTTTATATTAAATATACATAACATACTACTAATAAACATGAACATATATATATATATATAGCCTAGTTATACGCACAATTCAAAAATGGATTCTAGCGCTTTTTCAAATTATATACTTGTATGTTGAACATTGAACATATGAATATATATATATATATATATATATATATATAATATATAAATATAAGCATACATATTTATATTTAAAGTTGCACGCAAATTCAAGTTTCCACTTGAGTTTTGTTTCTGTTTTCGTTTTGTTTTATTTTATTGCTTTTTCCAGTTCTTCTGGTAAATTGGAAAATTCCATGAAAACGATGAAATAGATAGTTAAATTTTCTACAGGTAGGCATCTTAAGATCGACAGGCCTTGACCGCCTATTACTGGTGTTGCTCTAACCCCTGACTCAAAGTATTTCACGAAACATAAACATTATTTATGTGCTGATTGTCAATACATTATTGATGTTCCTCATTACTAAGCTGTCTCATGAAGTATTTGGTAACATGAAGATCCTGGATTCGATCCTTGGTATGCGCTGCTGAAGAGTCTGAAACTTGAACTAAAAACACCTATCTAATGTTCTGCAGTTCCCAATGGTTCTCCATTTTATGTGGGTTTGTTTGTACAGGAAATATGTGGCGACCTTTTTGAATCATTGGACTGTCTGAATTTTCATCCAACTCAACATGCATTATCTGCATAATCTGCAACTCTTATTGTTGTAACTATTTGATTATGTCCCTGAATTGCATGATGTACTCTAGCACATCTTTAATTGACTTTTGTAGGACCGATAAACGTCTCTCTCTCTCTCTGCGTTGAACAACACTGCGTCTCGTGATATGCTTACTGTAGATTGCTATTTTACATGAAGATCCTGGATAAAGAGAAAGGGTGTTATGCAAAAGTAAACTACGCTGAGAATCCAATCAATACATTGTGTTATGCACTTGCTCAAAATATATCTATCATTACATCATTCTTACATTGAAATGTCTTGTATTTACACGTAAGATGCAGATAATAACGATAAACTGAACACTGAACTGGGATATTTTTCCCTCACATGACTTAAAAATACTTCCCAGGTATCATGAGAAGTATCAAGTTTTCAAGTACACAATCAGTTTCTAGGCACATAAACCCATCGAGGTGACTAGAAATGGCTTTTGTTTGTGAAGTATTTATCACAAACAAGTATTCAGTCCTTCAGCCTACCTGAAAAGTCTTCGATAGAATTCGGATAATAACTAGTAACATAGTCGAGGAAATCAGCAAAATAATTGACCAGTAGGGTGCAGCAAGTCCGGTGTTAAGACAAATATTCGTCGACAACATTGGCTAGCGGAGGAGGATCTGGACTTAACCGATGATATGTGTCTGATTTCCCACAAACACAGGAAGATATGCAAGTGAAAAGCAACAAGTTGGCAGAAGAAGCATCAAAAATAGGATTCCAAGTAAACATAGAGAAAACAGAGTTGGTGAAGATTGCTGGGCAACACCAACAGCCAACAGCAGCATGAATGGGAGGAACCTGAAAGAAACAACCTCCTTTACCTACCCGCCTACCTGGGAAGCATCGCTTCAACTACAGGCTCACGGAACTGACGAGGACATCAAAGTGCGAGAATCGGGAAGGCAAGTTTTCATTTCTCTCCAGTTTGTGTGAAGGTCAACAGCACTACTCAGCATGAAAATGAAAATAAGATCCGGATTTTCAACTCCAATGTGAATTCAGTGCTACTCACTATACCGATCAGAGACTTGGCGAGTCATGAAGAGCACCTCAAACTTCGAACTACAGACCTTCATTAACAGCTGTCTTCACTCAATACTACTCAAGATCAGATGGCCGGCCATAATGTGTCGGCAAGTGGGATTTCCGGGAGCGAACCAACCCAACAGGAACCAATTGTACAACAAATAAGCAGGAAGAAATGGAGATGGATTGGCCATACTCTGAGGAAACCATAAAGTGACATCACTAGACAAGCCATTGCTCGAGTGGAACCCGAAAGGGAAGCGGCGAGTCAGTTGGTCGTCAGTGCGAGGGTGACTTGGTGGAGGAGGTCAGTCATGTGAAGAGGAGATGAAAGCATGTGGGTCGCAGACGTGGAGCCAGGTGAAAAATTTAGCAGAGAACCAAACGCAATGGAGACGTGCAGCTGAAGCCCTATGTTCCTCTAGGAATTAAAGGAAATAATAATAGTATACAATAATTGACTAGCAGTCGTTATATGTAATCTATTTGCAGAAGTTAGAATTCATGGACTGGCCACTGGATTCGGTCCCAGTGTCTTAATGTTCTGTGACCTCGCTAGCCTTGTAACCAGAAGGTCCTGGGTTCGAACCTTGGTAGTTGGTTAGTACTGACGAAAAGTCCCTAACTAGGCTGACGAAACATCTGTCCAGTACTTGCAGTCGGTTTTCCAATGATTCTCTAACCGATGTTAGCTCATGATAAAATCCTGTAGCCAATCAGTCAAATCTCTACAAACCAATATTTGAATAACCTAAGTCTGATAACCCATAATGAACTGTCCATTCGTCTGTTATGAATAGTACTGCCAGGAATCATTAACCTTTCGATAACAGATTGTTAAAAAGGTCTCCCCATCACGATGGGAGGGAGATCACTTTCGAAGTCTTTTTTACCAGTTTCAATTTCATACATTCCCAGAATCCAAACATTATTCGCCATAGGACGTCTATTGTTTATATTTCTTCTTTATCGAGATGGTGTCGACATTACAGACACCAATCCCGATCCCTTGCAAAAGCTGCATCACATTATTCACCTCCTAGGACACCACATCTCTTCGATGTTGGTACCATCGGACAGTAGACAGACAGATACCAATGAGTTCTGTGTACGTACAGCACTGGATCTCGACTCAGTCATCAGAACCCAGTGATAACAAATTGAAAAAAGTATATGAGATAAAGCG